CTCACGAGTGGTTCTGAAAAGTCCATCATGACATCACGCTCGCATATTCAACAAGAGCAGCAGATGAACTATTGAAAATAATGGTTCTAGGCATCTGTTACCGCTGACAACAGTATCGCACGTACCCAAACACCCACAGTACCGCTGGGGTTCAGGGTAATTATTGTACGGGACGGTATTGTACTATCTGTTTCTAAGTATGGAGAGTGGAGCACCGCTTGGACGGGACCTATTGAATACTAACTAATCAATGGCTAAGTGGTCCCTCAAGCAGGTACTAAAAGGTCCCTAGGCATTCAATTCCAATGATGTCTCTCCCTAATCAGTGGTAACAATGGGATTGGGCTTCAATCTGGCAGTCTGGTCTAGTGGATTTGGTTCCCCACAATTGAAGAAATTTTTCATGATCAACCTCCGTTGGATTCTTTCCCTGCTTGTTTCTGCTCTTTTGCTCTGACTGAATATTGAGGACGTCTCCTCCTCCCTCTGCGGGAGGCTTTCTTTTGAGATGAGAAAAGCCGTTTCGGTGTATATCAGGGTTTAGGAGAAAACCAAACTTTGAAAAAGGAGAAGATGTCGATAACAATCAAATGATCAGCAGACAACCAACGGTTCAGACTGACCTGTAATTTTCGAGATAATAAAGTAAAACAATAGACGGGAAAGAAATATGGATTTCTATTTTATTTTTATTTTATATAGAGAGTAAATATATATATTTTTTATTTCTTTTTGGGGAGAGGGGAGGGAAGATCCTCTGGTTCAAGTGGTCCCTCTTGTGACGGCCGGGCCCGGGGGCGCTCGCGGTGTAACCAGCAGGCCTGCTCCCCTGGGTAAAGCGACCCAGAAAAAGGGCGGTTTGTTTGTCTCGGCCCTCGCAGTCACTCTGGCAGTCCCTCGCTCACTGACTTGACTCTTTTGGGTATTGGGGGTTTGGTCTTTTGGGCTCACTTTTTTTCTTCTTGTTTCTCCCTTTCCTCCTTCTTTTCCTCCCTTGTCCTCACTTTCATCTTCTTCGTCATCTTTCGCTTCAATCCCGTTCGTTCGTTTTTGACTTTGATACCTGATTGTAATCGTTGAAGCTATCTTGTTTTTGCCACTCCTTGTGGCGTGTGGCTCCGGAGGGTCTTAACTTTCACCTGGACAAATAGCACTCGCTCAGTACTTACGTCTTTTCTACCCGTTCGTTCTAAACCAATAGTTTCTCTTTGACACCCCCCCAGTCCATACCAACAACCGGGGGCCTTTTTCACCTCTTTGATCTTATACTTTTTTTTTTGTCTATCGCTTTGCGTTGCCTCGGGTTGTCTTTTCCCAGTGACGGCCATTAGAAAAAGAAAGAGAACCAAAAAAATCATTAACCTTGATTCACAATTCAACTGCCGCCGGATTGACCGTCTATTCTATTTATTTCGGTTACTTACTTCGAGCCACAGTCCAGATGGTTTGATGGTCGTGTGTGATTCCCCGTCCCATTATTCCTCATGAGTCTAGTCATCCGGTCCGAATCTACATCCGATAACAGCTGCGTCCACGTTTAATTCTTACGCTGGACGAAAGAACATATGACCAGGCGCCATGGCGATATGGCCGTTTGGTCGGAAGAATAAGCGGCATACTGTCCAGTTGGACACAGTTGCTACGGCTGATATCCATGTGCCACAAGAACCTCGCCTTAGCCTCGACGATGCCAAATTGGGGAGGAAACCCTCCCGCAAGAAATCCAAACGTCAAAAGAACAGACACTTACAGCCTGCTGACGATCTCTCGGGTCCTGTTCAAGATGCACAGCCTCTCTCTTCACAGCCGACTGCATATCCTCCACCTACGTCACATAGTGAGCATCCCGTGAAAGGTGCACGGGGCTCCCCAGCCAGAACTGGTCTGACCTCGGATGGTTATATCTCTCGCATTACTATCGGTCAAGACCAACCCTCATTGTCCCGAAATGCATCGCTGCGGAGACAAAATCGTTCTGAAAATGGACCCGCGGTTCTGAAGAAAAAGCTAAGCAAGCGAAAGGCCTACGAGATCGCCAGGGAGCGAGAAATTCGTCTGATGTCCTCATCTCCGATTGACATACCTCGTCGTTCCACTACCTTGCCTGGTGAACAAGGATCTGCCTATACCCGTAGAGGGCCTAGAGCCCAGAGTCGTCGTTCAGACCGACACTTTTCGGACGTCAGCCTCCCGCTTCACGACTCTGCATCCTCGCTATCTGACTACTCTGAGTCATGCACGTTTAAGGTTAATGGCTTCGCTGCCTGGACTCCCCGTCCTGTTATCCGTTATGTGGAGGCTCCTCGAGTTCCCACAGCAAGAAGTTTAAAACCATCCGAAGCGTCAACTCGGAGGGAAGCGGCAACTGCTATTTCCGTTTCAGAAGATAATCTGCACTCGAAGAAAAGAGTCGACAACTTGGCCGACGACCTTGATGCAGGCGCGCTGAGGGAGCTGCTGGAAAGGGATCGCCGGCGGAGGGAGAGGAAGAAAGCCGAAGAGTATGAGAAACTCCAGCGCAAACTGCAGCGCGCTGCTGAGCGCCAAAGATTAAAGGAAGAAGCTGCTAGTGGTTCCCACGACCATCAAGTTGAATCGCCGGACATGGCTGAAGTTCAGCGAGGCCGATCGAGCGCCGATTACCCTGCTGAATCTAAAGAGTATACCGCTGAAGATGCTTCTGGATTAAATGAGACAAGGTACAATGCTTCCGGGGTTGCAACTGGTTCATGGTTGCGAAGTCTTTCTAAAGATACCGAACGGAGTGACCGTCACTCTTTGGAGAGTGTCCACGTTATTGGTAACATCGATGATAGATCCATTCGGGAGCGAAAGTTGGGTATGCGGCGCAGTTTCGCTCCATCCCAGGAAATGGGTATGTCACGTAGCACTTTATCGCCGTCTCATTCACCGACAAGACGCGAGGTTTACAGTCCGACATCCTCGCAAGCATACAACCTTGGCAGGGAGTCCACCTCGGATGTGTCCAGAACTATTGACTCGGAGCGACGGCTATCCGATCATAGCAGTGGGCGCGTGAACACAATAACCTCCTTATTTAGACGTGGTAGCTCACGCCTCAAGCGGCGCTATCGCGAACGTTTCCAAGACCGTGGTTCAGAATTCTCATCGAACACATCGCATGAATCTTTCTTCAAGGTTCCAACACAGTCCTCAGGACCTCCTCCATATGTTCCTCCAAAAACCTTTTTACATTCCGGTACAATGAAACGTTCCCAATCCAAATTCAGGGAACATTTCGGGGACGAGCCTTTATCACCGCCTGACTCTCGGCTACAATCGCCCGATATTCCCGAGGAACCCTTTGAACAGTCTGAAATGGAAGCTGAGAAATCTGAATTGCACGAGAAAACTCAGTACCCAATTCCTGGGTCTGATTCGGAGCCTCAGGATGCTCGTGCAAACCATCACCACTCTTGGACGGGCGAGAGCATGGAAGGGGACGTCGATAACATTCCTCTGTCTCAGTCTCTAGCGTCAATAGACTCAGAAGGGTCTTGGATGTCAGGTCAATTTCTTCGTCGCATCTCTCAGAGGACGAGCACCCCAGCCCGACCAAGCCTTAGCTCCTCAAGAAACAGGTTGGACGAAGAACGTGAAGAGCCACCTAAAGAGGAAGAAATCCCGGCCAACGAACAACTCGTCAAGTTTAGCACCAACCACGATGAGACCACCAGAGCTAGCCACGTGCTTAGTGAGCAAGACAACGACTTTGAAATGGTTAATGCGCCAGAGCCGACCGAGGAGACCTGGCATGACGAAATTGCAAAGCGTCCTGTGCTTGTCAACCCAGCAGTCCGGCCCAAGTCGAACGAGGGTCTGCTCAATAATGTCCAATCTATGTGTGCAATATCTATGGAAGAGGAGTTCAGCCCTATCGAAGAGCATCCAGCGGAATTTTATTTTGAGACGAACGATGACTACAACGGCCACCATGGCCATTAGGGCATCGCCACTACACCGGGCAGTTAGCCCATGGCCAAACTTGACTGGGGCCTTATTACCGAGCGTGATCTTGGTGATGTGATACTCATTCGCCAACACTTGATTTTCTCATTGGCGTTCTTTCGTCCGAAGAGTAGTTATCAACCTCTTTCGTATATACCCCAGTCACCCCTTTGAAACTTTCTTTTGTCTCTCCTTTGTGTTGTTGGTTTTGCACGTGTTCCATGTGGCACTTGACGTGGCCATAAGTTCACTTCATTCTTCGATGTCTCCCCCCGTGCCGACTCGGTGCTTCTGGTCTTGCTCGCGGGCGTTGCTAGTTCTTGTGTTTGTTGATACCCCCACATCAGCTGAAGTTTGAATGAGTTTGCAAAGTTAATGGTTCTATTTGATTCATTTTCTTCTAAACTATATCCTCCCGATAGACTTGAAGCAATCCCATTCTTCGATTCGATGCACATATTGATGCCAACACGCAAGTCGTTGTTGCATGAGTTACTTGCGTTTCTTTCAGTATTGCTATACCCTTTATTACCCCCACCGCCATATCATATTAGTTATTAATTGATGGTGCATGAGAGTCTAGTGTGTCGTAACAATGAAAAGATAATATATCTGGATAAGAAAACCATCAGTTTCTGAGGCTGAGAGTTCATGCTATTCTCGAAGAAACAACTGTTGTAGTTAGGCTGTAGCTGGAAGCAGGCGGCTGAGAGATGAACGTAATGATGCTATCTTTGGTGTTAGAACTGTTCCCAGCGTATCGTAGATCCGCAGTCTTCGAGTATTCCAGTATGTTTGTTTTCTTCGCTCAATTGAATGCCTGAGGTACCAAATCGAATGCCGATCCAGACCATTCCTGATTGATAAGCGACAGGAAGCACGCCATTCCGGGCCGCCGCTTTAAGCATGTTTGCCCTGCAGAAGCGGGAGAACCAGAAGTGTCTTCTCACTCATCTGGCCATTGAATCCTCCCATCATACTACTATACTGACCAACCAAACCACCTCATTGCCACGCAATTGTAACCAAACATGTATTCTCCTAGCTTGACCAATCAATATAAGAGTCTCCTGCGAGTATCGCGAGTGACTTGGTAAGCAGTTTTATCCATCCATAGAATCTCATCCATGACCCGCGACCTTTCCACGGTGGCCGAGAGGATTCGGTGTGGACAGGGGAACCCCGTGATGATTATTCATACCGTGCAACCTCAGGCCAACAGACAAACGTCATATCGGGATTTAAATTCTCGTTTTGTGCCCCTCTATCAGCCCCTCACCCGGAGCTAATTAATATCTTCCCTAGTTTTAAACCATCAACCGCTCGCCTCTCCCTTTCCTCTGCTAGGATCTCATCTAGAGCAACCACATCTACTACCTCTCTTCGCCCCTCCGTCGGCACACACTTCAATCTCACTCGACGAGCTTTTTCCTCTACCCCCACCGTTCGATTCACACCTTCATCCACCATGTCTGAGGGCAAGGTTGTGAAGATTGAGACGTAAGGCTTCGCTCTCTTGCATGAACACCGAGCAACTTGTTTCTCACAACCCCTGTCTCTCTTTTTTTACGTCACATTATCGGTTACCCATGTCACTGACTGTTCGTACAGCGAGCAGGAGTTCAGGGAGAAGGTCCTTGAAGCCTCTGGCCCTGTCGTTCTCGACTGCTTCGCCGAGTGGTGCGGTCCTTGCAAGGCCATTGCTCCTAAGCTCGCTCAGTTCAGTGAGCAGTACCCTAGTGCAAAGTTCTACAAGATCGATGTCGACCAGCTCGAGAAGGTCGCTGCTGAGCTTGGTGTCCGCGCCATGCCCACTTTCATGCTCTTCAAGGATGGAAAGAAGGTGTCTGATGTCGTTGGCGCCAACCCCCCGGCCCTTGAGGCCGGTATCAAGTCTCTGATCGCATGATTAATATTTCGCTTGGGGTGAGGGTGGCATTTGCTTTTCTAAGTTTGTCCCGAAGAATATGGCTCTACCGTTTATATCCATCCCTTATATGGCATAATAATGAACTGTATCGTTATCGTGACCGTGATATGGCATTCCATATCGGGAGGAAGAAGCCCCCAAGAGTGCTGTAATTCCGGACTTCTAGTTCGGGACCGTGGAGCCATATAAGGTATTCCTGGCCGCACTATATAGGACTCCCAATACATAACAGCATCCCAGAGGTCTAGGTCCCATACAAGTAAGGCCCGGGGTAATCATTACTTCGACTCAGATCACCCTTCCAGAAGTATCCCAAAATCAACAATACAGACCATTTGACCCACACTACCACCTCCATCGAACCCTATGGGCGGAAAAACAACGAATGGCTGTAGAAGCGTCGCAGAACGACATATATACTTCCTCTAATACCAGAGGATAGAATATGTAAATTGAGTTACTTAGTAGTGACCATCTCAGAACTCAATTCAATCAATCTTTTACATTAACACACCGATAGCACGGCACGTACAGCATGCATGCTGCATGCATGTTCATACATATGCATGTTTAAATGCCACGCACGGGAACCCTTAAAAATGATAATCCCAACTAATTCCCCTCCTGGTACTAGTATATAATGTTAGGATCAACATGCCATGTTTAAGTTTTGTTTACTCTAGCCAATGGTAAACGCTTACACTGTATAGGCCCTTTTCTTCCAGGCTGTGCCTTCTCTTTGGATTAGCTTTTTGTGGTAGAGTTTTAGTACTACTTATGCGCTGTTAGGTTTAATGAGTAGTCTATTAATAGCGTTGTGTTGTTTTGTGCTTAATGTGCTAGGTGGCTGTATAATATATTTGACAGAGTCACGAAATAGTTGAATGTTGTTTGAAGGTCGTATAGTCATTATGCCACTCTCTTCTGAATAATTGCCACTGCAACACAAGGCAGTGGATAATAGATTCTCTAGTCTTAGCTTGTCACATGTGAGACTGGAATACTATTGATTGACTGGTTTCCCTGGATACTTGTCTACGAGTACGTCTTCTGCTTATATTTCCCCTCAAGCAAGTAGTCAGTCAGAAGTCAAAGCAATGAGAACAGGCTTGAACGCTACATGGAGGAGGAGCTAGATCTACTTAGAATCAGAAGATTTACTAAGCTGGGGTCATGATGAGACGCTTGCTATAGCTCTGAGTCAAGATCGCCGTTTGAGCGAAGCGCAGATAGGACGATATATATCGGTTTGTTTGCCAATTGGTCTGGCTTCATGCTCGCGCCATACTGGGAAGTCCCCTGGGGCCAGTTTGACCACTCACAGAAGCCCCATGAGAAAGACAGCGCAGCTTCCTGCTTCCCATTATGTCACTCGACGACTTGAACTTGTTCTCCTTGTGCCTTAGGTTCTCTTGACAACTTCCCCAACATCACGTTCATGCACATTGATTAAATGGAGTGAAGAACCAGCTGCTCCACCGACAGTACTACACTTCCATGTCCTGAGATTCTTTACAGCGTGTACACTGTACAGTATTACAGAAGGGAAGACGGAGGGAGACCAACAGACGTAAATCCTGATAAAACGATGCATTAGAGCTTAACTTGAATTCTCCAAGCTCGATTAATTTGCATAGTATCTTGAATCTCGCCGTGTCGATTATTGATCCCACATTCAGGCGACTATATCCTGACAGAATGACAAACATGCCCAGCTTTAGACCAAGGTAGAGACACTTAGCCGGGGTTAGCTTGATCTCTGGTTTATAAAAGATGTTATTGCATGGTTATAAAGCTTAGGTATACTACGTACTTGAACGGCTTAGATCTCGACACGCCCGTGCTCCTGAGATATATAGTATAGAGGTATGAAAGTACTCGAGATACAATATTGAGCCAGTTCCTATTTCCAAGCAAGACCTGACTTCTCTTCATGCCATTTTGGATTTCATAATTGATTCAGGTATGCGTTCGTTCTTTTGATAGGCAGGGTAGTTTACTAGTCACTTACCCGATCTAGTTAAATCTCATATTAGATCAATTGACTAAGGTCGTCATGGAAAGGTATACTACGTAGGCATATAGGATTGAACTAGAGCTAATTACTCGTAACATTTAGATCTATCATGACAAACAATCATCCTACTCTAATAGTCGTGGTTTGCAGATTGTTACAGCAATGGATCCACTGTTAACACATAAATGACTGACAACCTACAAAACGATACTTGAAACACACACACACACACACACACACACACACACACACACGCACGCAAAAAAACCCTGGTATATATACCGTATTCTTAGAGGAGGCTCAAATATACAAAGGAAGGCCGGCTCTGCTCCAGAATTGCCATTGATCGTCTTATTGTCGGGGGCACCTGTTGAACTAAGACTTGACTAGTATATGCACCTGCACATATGTAGTAGGGTAAGCGTACGGCCCCCAACGCTAATGCAAGTACTAGTAGTAGTCCACTTATACTCTCAGCAATCTTCGGCTGACAATAACGGCTTTGTAGTATTACTGGGGATCCTGATAATCCTGTGACTTGTTCAGAAATGGATAACCTGGAAGCATGGATCCTATTCGGAATGCAGTACATTGAGGTCAAATATTGCAAGCTTTGGGTATAGTTTAGGATTTGCTGTATAGACAAAGAACACAAGATTCGCTGCTCTCCCCCTGTCAGCGGACTACATCACGTTGCAGTTCTCGGTCTTATCGGTTGTAGACGAATAATAGTTCCTTACACCTGTCCCTCCTGTGGAGCTTGCGCTGACGTGCAATGCATTCTTTTCTCGCTGCGCCTCATCTTGTTTTCGGTTCCCCAGCCTGCCTCTAGTGCGAGCTCTCTCTTTAAATAGCTCCCAGGCCCTCTGACAGTAAGTTAAGCTCACTTCATTTCTTAATCGAGGAGTATTGCAACTGGCCATCCTTTCATGCTCACAATGCCTGTTCCAGAAATATCCTCGTTTGATCCTCGGACTCAGCTCATCCCCAACATCATTGACCATTATGCTCAGGTTAAGCCCGATGCGATCTATACTGAATATCCTATCTCCTCCATGAGTTACGAAGATGGATACCACCCAATTACCTTTAAAGCCTTAGCCAATGCCATCAATGGTATCGCTTGGTGGTTAACTAGAAAGCTGGGCCCGGGGCATGGGGAGATCCTCGCATACGTAGGCCCCAATGACTTACGATACCCAGCCTTGGTGCTGGGGGCTGTCAAAGCCGGATACTGTGTAAATGCGATGAGCCATCTTTCCATGACAGGTAAATGTTAACCTTGCTATCTAGATGTTCCTCACATCGCCACGGAACAGTGTGGTCGCTCATAACAGCCTGCTCAAGCGGCTTGATTGCACCACCCTGATCAGCCCCGTGCCGCGACCACCACCCGTCACGAATATCCTAGAGGCATCCCCCCTAGATGTTCTAGATGCCCCCAGCGTAGATGAGCTGGTGAGCAAGGAACATCGCCATTTCAACTTTCCGAAGACTTATCCGGAAGCCGCCAGAGAGATTCTGGCTGTTCTGTATGTTCTGTGCCCTATGGGGTCTACCCAACATGTCCAATGCTGACCCTGTTAGCCACACATCTGGTTCAACGGGAATCCCAAAGCCAATTTTCTGGACCCACGATACTGCCTGCAAACACATGGAGGTGGTGGTTCTGGAGCCCCCAGAAGGATATGAGAGTCTGGACCACTGGAATCGGGGCAAGAGAATGTATCTGGTTCCTCCTCCCTTCCATGTAAGCGTTCTTAATGCCCTTTAAAGCTAGTATCTACAATCTAATGGCTTGGAAAGGCGGCCGGTCTGGCCTACCTACACTTCATCATCTTGTCTGTCGGTATCAGCCTCGTCCTGCCAACATCCGGCGGTCTTCCCACTGCAGCCGCCCTGGTCGAAGCGAGAAAACGTACCCCCTTCGAGACCGCCTTGATCGTGCCGTCAATCGTCCAGGAACTGGCACAGAGCCCGGATCTCCTAGACTTCTGTAGCAAACACCTAACGCATCTCATCTATTGCGGAGGAGACCTCCCTCAGTCGATCGGTGACACAGTAGCCGCAAAGATCAAGTTAGTGAATCAGTATGGTGCGTCGGAGGTCGGGATGGTCCCTTCTATCTACTCCAAAACCAATCGTGATCCCCTTAAGGACTGGCGTTATATCGATTTCCACCCCCGCATGGGAGTCGAACTCCGTAATATCGCCGGGGAGGAGTATGAGATGGTTATAGCGCGTCACCCTGAACGTGAGCGCTACCAGTTCCCTTTTACGCTTTTTCCTGATCGGCATGAATATCACACTTCAGACCTGTTTGTGCGACATCCAGATCCCGCTAAGCGCGACCTCTGGCGCTGGTGCGGTCGTGCAGACGACGTGATTGTCTTCCTCAACGGTGAGAAAACCAATCCAGTATCAATGGAACAGCACATCATCGCGTGTAATCCAGATGTCACTGCGGCGCTTGTGGCCGGCTCACAGCGCTTCCAAGCATCTCTCCTAGTAGAAGTGAATGGAAAGGATCTCAGCGTGAGTGAACGCGCTGCGATGATTGAAAAGATTTGGCCAAGCATTGAACAAGCTAATGCGGCTTGTCCCGCGCATGCGCGTGTGGCCAAGACTCATATTCTATTCACGACACCGAATAAGCCCATGCTTCGAGCCGGTAAGGGAACCATTCAACGAGCTGGCACGCTGGCGCAGTACGCTCCGGAGTTGGATGCCTTGTATATTGATGCGAACAAGCTGGCACAAGATGACGGTGATTGGCTTGGGCCTGGATGCACCGAGGATCCTGAACTTATCTCGGATTATATCCGACAATCCATCCTTACCATCACTGGGTGGAATGTCAACAAGCTGACAGATACGGAGAATTGGTTCAATCTCGGATTGGACTCCCTGCAAACGATCACTGCTACTCGTATTTTCAAGCGTGGGCTTGGCTCCCCTACCCTCACTCCAAACCTAATCTATCTTAATCCAACAGTGATGGATTTGACGCAAGCGGTACTATGCCTTCAGCAGCACCAGGAGGCGTCTGCAGAGGCTCAGAAGGAGGCTCAATTACAAGACCGAGATCAGCTGCTGCAGGAGCTCATCGGACAGCTGGCCATCGGCACCGATCATACCGAGTCCCCCACGGCCCATACTGTTTTACTCACTGGCTCGACGGGCAATTTGGGCGCCTACATGCTTGATACACTATTAAGGAACCCAACGGTGAGGCATGTACATTGCCTTAATCGGAAGGGTAATGCGATCGACGTGCAGCATAAGAAGAGTGAAGCCTACAATTTAAAATTAGATATGTCGCGCGTGAGCTTTTGGGCTACAGACCTGTCGCAGCCAGATTTCGGGCTTCAGTCCGATATTTATCAGATGATGCAGTCAACAACCACCCTAGTAATCCACAATGCCTGGACCGTTAATTTCAACCTCTCCCTGGCATCCTTCAAGCCTAACTTGGTGGGAGTAGTGAACCTGATCAACTTCACCCGCAACGCCACTCAGTCCCCGCATCTTTTCTTCATCTCTTCCATTAGTTCCACCATGGGCCACCGCACTGGCAATGGCTTAACCCCGGAGGGATTGATCACGACTACAACCCCGGCTCCAAACGGCTACGCCAATAGCAAATACCTCGCAGAACACCTTCTCGCCCAAGCTGCTGAACAGAGCTCCTTGCATGCTTCTTTCGCCCGTGTAGGCCAGATCGCGGGGCCTGTGCGGTCTCGTGGCTTGTGGAATAAGGCAGAGTGGTTCCCCAGTCTTGTCCTGAGCTCCCTACGCGTTGGTGCTCTCCCCGATACCCTCGGGCCGGCTCTCGACCGTATTGACTGGGTACCAATCGACCTGTTGGCCGAAGTATTAGTCGATATGGCTCTAAAGAAAGACAAAACAACCAACGAATGTGTCAATGTTTTTCATCCGGTAAACCTGCACCCTCTGACCTGGGAAATAATTCGGCCCGTCGTGGCAGATGCTCTCCTCAAAACGTCCGGGAAAACAGTTGAAACTATTCCTTTCCGAGACTGGGTCCAGCGAATCCGGCAGGACGTTGAGACAGCTGGTGCTGGCGGCAAGGCCCTTAGCGACGAGGAGGAGCTGCAGGCGCTCGTCGCTAAAAACCCTGCCATCAAGCTGCTTGAATTCTTCGAGGATATCATGTCCAAGTCTACGCGGGAGAACGTGCTGGATACGCAACTCACCGCGCAGTGCAGTGAGAAATTGCAGGCCGTGGAGGCTGTCAAGCCGGAATGGATCCAGAAGTGGGTTGGGGAGTGGGTTCAGTGATCTTTCATCGCGCTGCATCCATAAGGGGCTATGAGGTATTTTACCTGTCCGGAGCTAGAGTGCCCGACGTTGACGAACCAGGTTAATGGATTATAATCCCTAGAGAAGGGTTGCGCCGTCCGGTATTCGAGCCTATCACTGCTGTATACGTACGTTACTACGAGGTGTACGATGCTAGAACACCAATTGTGTCAGTGAGAACTTCCGGTACGGAGAGCTGGGCGTGTGCTTTGCGTTTATTTCAAGAATCAATGACATATGTATTGCAGTGGAGATACTGACAAGAATCATATTTTAACAGGTACTAGTAGCTATTGCATAATCTTACTCACGGGTGGTTCAAACACCGCGTCTTCTCCATTGTAATGCGTATATATAAGTATGTAAATCTCATGCAGACAATACGATGTTGGATATGCTCTTCGTGGAGATACGCCATGCAGGGTTATCACTTGCCGGGAGTGGGGAATGCATGCAAATGCAAGGGGACGAGACTGCCCGATTCAACGAGAACATCAGCCACGAACCCACAAGTGGTGCTTTCGTGGGAGACTCGCAAAGGTCAGCTGGGTGCTTAGTATTAAGTGAATTGGCTAGTAAGCCCCTTCAGTTGTATGAGCCAGGAAATTCCCCAAGTACATTGCAAGCTGAAGTTCTGCTTTCCAGGGCACCTTTACTTAGCTCTGTCGTTTGAAGAGCAAATACTGACTAATAGGGATGTGCTATTCTTTAACCCTTGTCAAGGAGCCAGTTTAGTATCGCTTACAGTAACAACTCGATATATGCAGCACTATCGCACAGACCTACAGTCCAGCTATTGAGGCCCAAGCCTCTATCTCGGATGACCTGAAGGTGTGATTTATACAAGTTAGGGCAAATGTCACATGACCCTCGGGTTTAATGCGAATGTCACAGCAAAGCTCCACTCCACCATCGTGCAATATTCGATCCTTTGATATAGTGCCGGTGTAAGCCGAAATAATCCACCAGGAAAGGATTTACTTCCCGGACTGAGGCTCCACCGTGAGCAATTATCGGTTTGTCGGAATAGATTAAAAAACCTTGCACCTTGCGAGTGGTTCCTGGATTAGGCCGTGTTGAAACAATTCATGCCGTGTCGTTGACTCGTTGCAAGAGCTGGTATGTACAGTACCACTACTCCGGAAGTAGATTGTTGACCGGTTGGCTGAACGCCGCAAAGCAAAGTCGAACTCTTGGTTTGAGAGACCTGGAGGGGCCGATTGGTTGCAGGTGAGATTAGGGTAAACTCTGAACCCTTGGACTGAAAACCTCAAGATCGAATCCTACGCAGGTACAGTAGGCTACCTACCTAGGTAAAGTATGTCCGTAACGTAGTATCTACCAGGTATGTAGGTACCTACATACCTAGGCAGTGGGCACAGGGCACATGTAAAGTCGGTTGTTGGGATCTCCAGGGCATCAATCAACCACAGATCAGAGGGCCCCTTTTCTGAGGCGGTACATCTGATATGAACACCTCGTATGTGTACCCCACTCAATTGATTAATCTCTTAATATCGAATTAATCAAGATGAAAGTAACATATGAGGGGGTGACAAATGAAAAGAGATTGAAACAATTAACTTGGGGGGTTTCTCTTCCCCTCGCCGCCTTCGCGTATTAAAATGTTTCGGTCAAGCCCGACTACTTGGGCCCAGTGCAAATCAGGATAAGCGTCGATCGCATCGGTCATCATCCACGAGTCACGAGCCGGCAGGGTGGATCTCACCAGAATTTTTGCTCCAGCGCCGCATCGACAGTCCCCTCGGTGTCCCTATCCATTGGTCTGAGACAATTAGACTATCCACTGCTCTGGGTTGAATTCCTCTTGTCTCGCCCGACCCAGACAACTCACGCCCATCTTGTTCATGCGCAATGAACCCTCTCCGTTTAAACTTCCGTCTAGATAAGTGCTTCGGCCGACACGCGCGTGTACCAACAAGATACGACTCGACTTCACTTCGTCGAGACTATGTTTTGGGAGATTATCTCAAGTTTATTATTCCAAATTTTAGGTATCACCACTCCAATCAGCGAATCAACCTTATCAACTCATATTGTTATTGACTCGTGGTCTCCACTATATCGGAGCTTTGTTGTCCTCTGAGTAGTAGTACCGAGGATGACTATGAGTGAACATGGCTATGAAACAGTTACGTATGATCTCCAATCTTGAAGCCCTAGATTTATCAGCTACCGGGTGTGTCGGCGTCTAGGTTGCGGTGGGTATACACAATCGAAACTCCTCGGACAATAGCACCAGAAAAAAGAAAAGAAAAAGAAAAAAGAAAAGAAAAATTCTTTTGTGGAGCGTTGTCTCTCACGCACGTCGAGGGTGAGTGCTACGCAGGGGTCGCCGCCAACGGAGTAGGTTCAAATCGGAGAAGAGCGAATCCTTTGGGAGCGGCGCAGCTGAACCCATGGTTAGCGTATCTTCGAGAAAGCAATCGGCTCGCTCGGTCCCTACCACTCGGACCCATATCACGTCTACAATTATATTGTCACCTACCTTAGTTTACCCTCACACAAAAGTCAGACGGGCCGATGAAAAAGAAGAAAAAGTGGAAAATGGAAAAGACGAAAAAAAAAAAGAAAACTATATTCCCCACCACGAAAAACAGAACAAGGAGCATGTTGTGGCTGATAGGCCATGGCCATGATTTTTATCAGACCGTGGCCAGGCCCATACCTTATAGACGGGTCCTAAATCGTCAGAGTTTATGCCCCATCGTTCCCTTCTGACCAACAACGATCCGATCCTCGATCGTTTCAGTGGTACAAATTTCCACGTTTTTCGGCTGATTGCTATGGATCTTCCCAGTTCCAAGCCTCCCTGCCTTTAGCTCGTGGTAGGAGCCTAGGACCACGGGCCAGGCTCTCTTGTTAGTTACGCTTGTTAAATTGACGTACAGTCACTAACAGGGATGTAAAGCGGATCCCATACATACCCGAGGAACAAATACGATGTCCAGCTACGCCCTCGCTTATTCTTCTTGTTATCCCGCGCTACGTTGTAACCTTGGGACTGCTGGACCCGCCCGCCCACGAGGGACAGGAAACGGTGGTGGAGCATCAGCTAGAGTTAATCGTTATAATAGCAAGATCTGTCCCCATGTGTGATCGCATTTGTCAATGCGTTAGCCTTAACTCCCGAATTTGCTGTATCCTTTCTTGAAGGTAGACTACCCAGTGACCCCAAACATGCACATACGGTGAAGTGTCTTTTGGGTGTTTCTCTTTTTACACATCGTGCCCACGATCAATGAAGTCCTAAGTGCTTCCGATCTCCCTATATTCCTCTCATTCGCAAAATGTCGAGTGCAGATGCCCCTGTCGAGAGGGCACCCGTCGGGGTGTCATACCTGGCCGGGTTTATTTTCCTTTCCTACGTGGTCAGCATGATGGGATGCACGACGACATTAGAACTCCTCCATCGAAGGACGGCAAGAGCGGGTTTGTACAATTGGTACGAGCATGATATGCTGTGTAAGAGGATGATGCCGGGTTGCTAATATCCAACATAGGTACCTATTGCTCACCTCCTCGATAGCCATGGGAGGTGTTGGTATTTGGTGTATGCATTTCATTGGGAACCGAGCGATCGTTCTTGGCAATGGGGAATCAGACCTCCAGATTATGTATAGCATGACTTTCACAGGCGTCTCATTCGTCTTGCCGGTGGTTGTTCTCCTCGCCGCTTTCTACGCTATTGGCACAAGTGAGAAAGCAGGGTATCTCCGAATCATAGCGGGAGGTGTGCTGACTGGCTCATCGGTCTGCGGTATGCATTATATTGGACAGCTGGGGATTGCTAACTATCAATGCTCCTACCGAGCTGCCAATGTAGCTGGCTCGGCCGTCATCGCCGTCTTCGCTAGTACTACCGCTTTGAGTATATTTTTTCGATGGAGAGCTACCTGGACGGATAGCTGGTGGAGACGAGGTATCTGTGGCTGCTTGCTTGCTGCAGCTGTTTCTGGTATGCACTGGACGGCTGCGGTGGGAACGTCGTACCGAAATCATGACCAGTCTGTCCAAAAGGGTGGCCAACTCTCTCGCACCCAGACTGTGATTATCTGTGCTGTCTTGGTCAGTTTCCCAGGTTCTTAGACCGCGTGGCTCTATATATTGACATTATACAGGCATGCGTTGCTTGTGGTGTACTGTCCGCATGTGCCATAGTCGCTGGTGGCCACCGCAGGAAACTCAGAGCACAAGCCCAACAGCTGGTCTTGACCTGTGCTTTCTTCGACCCTGAAGGTCGGATCATGGTCACACCGCATGCATTACTTCCAAGCCGGAAGATCGTTGACCGGTACATTGGCAGGGTAAGTTATTTTTCGATGGTCCTCGATGTGATTTTCCGGCCACCACTAACCAGTAATCCTTTTTCTTTAGACATTTAACGAGGATGATCTTACACGGACGCACCCTGCTTTCCTCTGGGCTGTTCGAGCGAGTAGAAACTGGAAACTAGTGAGAGACGCGGTGCCCGTCATGAGAGGCCGGATAGAGTCAGACGAAGCCACATTGGCGCATTACATCTCCAAGGGAGTTGTCTCAGACCAAGAGACTGAATTGCAGCCACATTTCGATGACCTATTCAAACGCCACTTTTGTGTGACCGCCCAAGACCTAGCCGATGAAGTTCGCCAGCCGTTACAGGATATGGGAATGCTGTATGACCACGTTTTGTCGACCTCTACTCCATCGTCGCGCTTCTCTCGTGCGATGGGGTACTCGAGGATACGCGCAGGAAAAGGTCAACTCTTGTTCACAGTGCGTCAATTGAAGAAAAACGAAGCTAGCCGTATGGCAGCAGCAGGTTTCCGATTTACAACCATCGAAAACGTTACAACGATCCTGTCTCGCCGGATTCACGTTCCCGCCTTAAGCTTGGGAACCCATCTCAAAGACATGAGAGATTACGCGTCATCGAACCGTGTATTCGAACCTGGAGTCCATCTTATCTCGTTTATCATGCGCCCTACGGTCCATGACCATTTCGAAGTGTTGACTGCGAAGGGTACCGGCAACCCCTTACCATCATCAACTTTATCGACTAAACGCCTCCAAATTAAACATCTGGAAATGATAGCACACATGGAAGGGTGGACCATGTCAACTTGTCTAAATTGGTTGAAATCGGACTATGCGCGAGCCTATAAGGATATTGACGAGTTCCGTGAGCAGCTAATCCAGGCCATAACGAATCTTTCCTCCTCTCTTCCGCCCGATGTCAACCTAGCATCTAAATTCTCCGCCCGTCCCCTCATCGCCCCCTGCCGTATCAATAGGATTTCAGATGGACAGAATTGCATCCTCCTGCCGTTCTGTGTGGTAGGATCCCTAGACACGCAAATCTCGAATCCAGACTACTCCTTTACTCCTCTCCGTCTTTTCCGCGTACAGCAGCAGACGAACGACGGCCTCAGCGAGAGTGACGGATTCGCTAAAGAACTCAGCGAAGAGCTTATATACTCAAAGGCCCGGCCAACCTCATCCACTGACTCCGACGTTCCTGACTCCATTCGCTCCAAAATTCGCTTCTGGAACCCCCGCAAACTGCCCGATTCAATGCTCAAAACTGACTCCCAAGAGTCTCTCTCCGAGAACAATCTCGCCCCTGAGATCATGGTCCGCAAAGAAGTCAAAGTGGATGTCGCTAAGTTGGCCGAACCGACCTTTGAACCCTCACTGGGAAGTCATGCTTCGCAGACGACTGTTGTGGCCGGTGAAATGGCTTTCAACACGTATGTCGACGAACTGTATAACCTCTGCTATTCTCCCGGTGTTCGACTTCGACCAGATCCGGCATTCAATCGGATGTCCATTCGTTGAGACGGAACAAAGAATACCTACACCATCCTTACGAACAATCGCTTTAGAGGTTGAAAAGAGTCAATCCAACGTTTGACTCGCGGGGCGTGGTACATCCACACTAGAACTAACCCAAGACGATTCTGAGCTAGAGAGCACCGAGGGACACAAATATCGAAGAGTATCCCCACAGCTCCAGCCCAATATTCACCTACGGCGCATTACGATAACGATGCTCGACACATCGCTATCTGCAAACCGTCACGACGTCCAACCTCACACCCATGGGCAGGGCCCCTTGCCGAACCTCGGGACCCTGATGACCGTCCTCTGACGGCAAGATAAGACATTTTTCAGAACCTTTCGTTCCTGTGACGATCTTTTCTCGGTTTTCTATATTCTTCTACGATAGACTACATTATACCCTTTTCATGACAAGCAGCAGTTTCATTTTTCTTTCTTTCTCATATCTAGTACAATGTAATGTATATATGAATATCGGCACGTTGTCACCCTTTCAGACATATATCTACTGCTCTCTTCCATCTCTTCTACTTCTACTTGTTTCCCACTTTTATTTATTTTCTCTTGCGGTGTTCACCCTCTCAGTCTTGTAAATATGTACTGCAGTCACTATATCCTAGCGAATTGTACCATAGTCATAATGTATTAATACATCGAAACCCGAAGTTCAAGGCCTGTATAGTCTTCATTCTTCAGCATGGTTCACCCAGTTAGCGGCTGGTCTAGCCCTTGTAATCCAAAACACCAATGTTCATGATTGATTATGTATGGGGATATCTATCTACTCTTGTCGACAATAAGGTACTATTTTGTGTTTTAAACAGTTCTTGTTATATTACTGTGTTGTACTGAATGGCTTCTCAGGCGTACTCTAAGCGCGAATCTCCCTACGATGTCCCATAAAATGGAGAAAATAGTCAAGGTATTCGATGATGTATTCGAGTCAAAAGCCCGTCTACCTGAGCTATCAACCATTCAAAGATCTATGCCAATAGTATGGTGATGTTCAACCACCAATCCCGCCTGACATGGTACCAGGAAACTCGAATCGTCTAGGAAAACCGAAAAGTGGTAAGTTGGAAACGGAAAAAGCGTAGAAAAGATTCTTCGCCGCCCCAAGATGCAACCGGTTGATGATTTTATGGCTGTACAGATCTTTCAGTCCTGCATGCATGAAATAAGAAAACCAAACCAGAGAAGGCCGCCGGAACAGAGAAAAGTAAATTCTTTTTTTGTTTCACGCGCAATCCCAATGCAAGACCAAGATGAATGCAAAAAACCCCCCCCAACAACGCCTCGTCAAGAAATATCGTATGCTCGCGTTGGTGAAATCGTGGCTGACTATCGCAGATAGGTAGTGTCAAATGGTGTGGGTAGATATCGGAAGGAAATGGAAGCAAAACCCGCTCAGTCGTTAATAGGGAAATAGATAGTCGACTCTTTTAACCAAAGCGGCAAAAACGCCAAACGTGCTTATTATGGAAACCCCAGTAAACATGGAAGCCAAGTGTGTATATCAGTGTCGTTACGGTCGTGGCATAATGCGAATTTGATCCAGAAGATCGGGAAGGATGCTAAGCGAGAAGCACACAGACCTTATACAGGCTTTGAAGCGTTCCGCGCTTTGGTGAGACGTTGGCTCCGCCGTGGCTTCGGCTCTTCCTTTGCTTCGCTCATCTGGATGGCGGGCTTGCTAGAAGCTGGTTCTTGCTTGGTCCTGGACTTCTTGTCTTTCTCTAAACCCCCGGTTCCATCGGATCCCGATCCTGACTCGAAGGAATCACTCTCTGTCTGGCTAGGGGTGTCTGTAGACACCGCCTGTCCTGCGACTGCATCCGGGCTGACTCGTAACCGTAAGGATACAAGGTCATTCTGATCGTCCCGGAAGGCAATTCCAACCGTTACATCAGGAAGGATACGCCGTTTTTGATCTCTAGCGTGACTGCGCCGCGTAGCCGGTTGAGGGTTGTCCTCAAGTTCACTCTCATCTGCGGAGCGCTTGCTGCCGGTGCTGAAGGGAGAGGAAGACCGAGAGGAGGGTTGCTGAAGACGAGATTTCATGATGGCTTTAGAAGCAGAAGTCTCTGCCGGGTGCGCACTGGTATCTTCGCCAAGTAAGTTCTCGAATGCCCTGTCAATGTTACCGCGACATTGTTGAAGCATTCCTACGATCGTGTCCCGGTCATATTTGCCACCAAGACCCTCCTGGATGGCCGATATTTTCCATGGGCTAGCCATATCTACGACAGTGGGTCCTGTTGATGACGCTTCTTTGTGGAGTGTCTGCTCGGCTCTGGGTATACATGGCAAGCCTGTGTGGGGGCCTTCTGTATGCCGTACCGAGGAATAATGATGGAAATCCTAGAAAGTTAGAAAATCATACGGTAGGCAACTAGCGAGTGCCTTACATGAAAAGCAATATGCACGGCCTCCCTTTCTTCGTCATCTGAAGCATGGACGTCGCGAAAGTTCTGAATGCCATACATTGTGTAGACATTAACATCCCTTTTATATGACTGGCAAAACGCCTGGATCTCTTCTGCGCCTCCCCAAACGCCCTTCTTCCGAGACTCCGCCACCTTGGAATCAAAGCTCCGCTCTTTATCCTTGGAAGTCGGAGGGGCGGGACTGGCTGAAGAGGAGGAACAGTAAGAGTATCGAGCCGCCGACGCTGCCGCTCGCCTGGGCGCTCTGCGCTCTCCACCAACGGCGGCTATAAAATTCATAAAGTAATCTTTATTGGCAGCAATGTGATCTGCGAGACGGACACGGATTTCGTCGGCATGGGTGAAATCTCCATAGAGTTGGTCCGAGAGGGCGTAATATAAGCAATTGCCTAGAGGTCCCCGTTAGCGAGGTCAGGAATTCTACGTTATACGAGCCCCATTGAGATGGCAACAGTATGTATTATATGGCTTGAACGTCCAATGGCAAGGAGGCTTTACCGTCACCCTCTGTAGGAAGAGCATAGAGCCCTAGTTTGCTGAGACATGGAAGCTCCAGGCATTCCGTCTCCACATTTTTGCTGCGCGTGCTTTTTGACGATTTCACCTGCGACTGAGGCGGTAGCTTCTGACTTGAGCGTCCATCGCTATCATCCTCTTGCTGCGGTTGTGGGGGTTGGGCTGGGAGCTGTTGTGTTGGGGTGGGTTGTTCGGCCACGGCCTCATCGGCAGGACGAATGGAGTAATGCTGATGGGCCTCGACTACGGGCACGATTCTGCCACCGGTTGGAACATCCGTCATGATTGAGTAGCTCTGCTCGACGAATGGCCCTCATTGGTGAGGAAGACAGTCGGAGAGCTTCGTCGAGCAGAGGGATATGAGGAACAAGGCAAGGGAGAGTAAAAAAAAGCAACACTGACAGCTCAGTGAAAGTGGAAGAGGGAAAAAAAGAGGAAAAGCAGCAGGAAGTTTCTCAATACTTTTTCTGGTACGGGGACTGCGGAGGAAACACACGAACAGCGGTCGTGATCCGAGGAGGCGGTGAAGCCCGATGTTCGCTCTGGTTGGACGGCGCTACGTGCAGCGACGCCTACCTTCCGATAATGACGAAAGATACAGACGCGCGCTTTGGCGATGCCGGGAGTACCCGTCATTATTTGCATACCCTTCTAGGTTATACTCAGACTCTGAGAGGTCTTAGAGTTGTCTATTTTTATTCGGACAGTTCTCTGAATACCATTACCACATAATACAGAGAGTATCGTACGTTTCATCCTCCCAAAACCCACTTATGTAGTAGGGATGCCATGTATGTACATACCTCTCCCGATGCCCTAAATCGCCCCTCTTGGTACTCTGTACTAGTAACTTACCTAAGGTACTACTATGTAAGTTACTTCTGCCCGCCGGAATTTCTGGGCCAATCATTCCCGGCCGATTAGCGTCAAGCGCTGATAATCCAACGGACAACTTCCCCGGCGGGATTTGTATCCTTCGATACCGATGAATATTTAATCGTTTCGACTCACCATGTATGGAACCGTCAATTCCTATCTTCTTTCTATACGGTGTCTTCATTCCTAGTTTCAATTATATATCAAAACTCCTAATAACCCCAACATCCTGTCCAAAGAAACAATCATGTCCACAAATAACATCGTGATCCTGGGGTACGGCCGACCCCACACTCTCCCCCAATCTCCAACTCCAAACTGATAGCAACCGAACAGAGCCGGAGTGTCGGGACTCACCACGGCATATCTCCTATCCAAGGATGCCTCCAACTCAATCACTGTGCTTGCCAAACATATGCCAGGTGACTACGACATAGAATACGCCTCACCTTGGGCCGGTGCCAATTATCTTCCGTATGTTCTACAGGGGTAAACTGGTATATCTTTGTATGAAAGAAACCTATGCTCACCAGGAACAGGGTGGGCAAAGCCAGTAGCTCTCATGGAAAATGGGAACGAAACACCTGGCCTGCCCTCAAGGAGATCACAGAGAAGTACCCGGAGGCTGGAATTCATTTCCAAGGTATGTTGTCTCTCGCGCGCTTTATCTTGTACATGTTCTAAGTAGAAGGATCCAGACGCGGTTGTCTATAACCGTACAAAAGATCAGGGATCAGCCACCGGGGATTGGTTCTCGGAATTGGTGCAGAAGGAGCCTTGGTATAAAGACGTCGTGCCGGACGTATGTTGATTCTTCAAGCTTTCATCAGAATGACCCCGTGCTGATCAATGTCCCAGTTCCGCAACTTGCCCGACAATGAGCTAGCCCCCGGCATTGACAACGCCTCTGTGTTCACCTCTGTCTGTATCAACACAGCGATCTACCTGCCCTGGCTAATTGGCCAATGTCGCACGACCGGTGTGGTCTTCAAGCGAGCCGTGATCAAGCATGTGGCCGACGCAGCCAGCCTCCATCATTCAGGAAAGAAAGCCGACGTGGTAGTCAACTGCACCGGCCTTTCATCCAAAAAACTAGGTGGAGTCAACGACGACAAGCTCCACCCCATCCGTGGTCAGGTCGTCGTGGTGCGCAACGATCCCGGCGCAATGTTCTCGATCTCCGGCACCGACGACGCCGATGATGAGATAACCTACATGATGACCCGGGCAGCGGGTGGTGGAACTGTAATTGGAGGATCGTATCAGAAGGACCAGTGGGATCCATTGCCTGATCCGAACCTGGCTGTGCGCATCATGAAGCGCGCCGTTGCTCTCGTCCCGCAGCTCGTGGGTAAGGGCCAGGGAATTGAGGGATTAGATGTTATTAGACATGGTGTTGGACTACGGCCTTTCCGCGAGGACGGGCCACGCATTGAAGCAGATAAGGTTAATGGCGTCTCGGTCGTACATAACTACGGCCATGGAGGATTTGGATACCAGGCTTCCTTCGGCTGTGCCGCGGAGGCAGTCGAGCTGGTAAACGGCATCTTGAAACAGAAGGGCCGGGCTAAGCTGTAGGGGAGGATGCACAATACCTAGTATACAAATAAATTATGTACACAAACGAACCGCAACGATACAGAATGAAAGCAACAATTATCTATAGTAGTGATCTCAAATGTTTTGGTAAATATTCCAAACCCTAAATCGAGGCCGCGGGTTGATCAGCATCATAGCGACGTCACCACCGAGCAGGAAGAGTATATATATTCTAGTCTTTATCTTAGGATTCCCCACGGCCGCTTCAGATGGTTCTCTAATTTCTATCGTACTGTACATTCTCAATTCAATAGTTTTGAATTATCCTAGCGATTTTCCAGACGAACAGTCCGTCCAAACATGACGTACAAACCCCCCAAAGTCGAAGAAGACTACTCCGACGCTTCAGAACCCCAAAAGCGCAAGCGCGATGAAAAATACTTCGAGCTGGAACCAATAACTTCTGAACAAGAATTCGAGACAGAAAAACAACAGCCACCCAATAAAGCCTCTAAGCCCAATGATACACCTGCAGAGGAGGAGGAAGAGGAGCTTAGTGATGTGTACGAAGAGGGCGATGAGGACATAATTGAGGAAGAAGACAATGACGAGGATGATGAAGAAGTAGAAGAGGAGAAGGAAGACATTGAAGATAATCAAGCGGAGACGAAAGAAGAAGAGGAGGAGGACGAGGAAGAGGAAGAAGAACAAGAAGTAGAAGAGGAAGAAGACACTAGCAAGCACAGGCCAAAGGTACAAAAGGCCATTGATAAACTAGGCCGGTGCCCCCTTGATGGCACAAAGATCGCACAGAAGCCTCTTACGGCATCTCCGGAGACACTGCTAGCGATGGTTATTGATGCCATGCTGAAGTCGCGCCCGATCTCGCATGATTTGACTCAGCGCACAGTAACCAAGGTTATTGATGCTGGGTACCATGATATCCGCAAATTGGGACATAGTACCTGGGAGGAGCGCACGACGATTCTCAAGGATGGAGGGTACAGTCGGTATCGGGAGCAGGGAGCTACTAATTTAGGAGAATTGGCAGAATTAGTCGAGAGCAAATACGGTACGTACAAGAGACGCTCACCTCAACTGTTATAGGGGTGATATATTGCTACTTGACTAACTCTGAGAACGCTTAGATGGCGATCTCAATAATCTATTAGAAGAGGCACATCACAACCGCGACGAAGTAAGGCAGCTCATCAAGGAGATCAAGGGCCTCGGCGACTTAGGTGCCGACCTCTTTTTCAATAATGTACAGAGTGTGTGGCCTGAAATTGCTCCGTTTGTTGACAAACGCAGCCTGCAAACGGCCGATCAAGTCGGGATTGGCACCGATCTGGATGCCATCTACGCCGATCTGAAACGGGATTCCATGAAGATGAGCAGATTGGCCAATGGCTTGTCTGCTGCGAGGTTAGATAAAAGGCAAGGGGAGCTTCTAAGCATTTGATTGCCGCAATTGATGTAGTTTCTCTCGCGTGTACATAGGGCAAACATAGCTACAACTAAGACATTGATTGAAAAAGAAAAAAAAAAAATACACTCAACTATACCTGGTGTGTGCGGTGTTACAATAAGAATCCTAGTTAGTATCACTTTACCTTCCTTGCAGAGTAGGGTTTCCATAGAAAAACCATGTCAATGATGTCATGTAGTTTAAGTACTAGTAGCTAGTTGCTAGATTGACTCTTTTCTCGTTTCTCGCACAAAAATACTTCCAAATTGCAACTCTCAGCGACCCTATAGAGTCTGAGCTATTTTGGCCCCCAATCCCCGTAAAGGATGATCCCTAACAAGTCTCACCAAAGGGCTGTCACTGGTCAGATCGTGCGATAAGCTGATGCTATATGACAAGGAAAAGAAGGGCTAGATCTCAAACTAATAGCAGAGCGAACAAAGAGCCTATTCCTGACAGTACTACAGTCTACTACTAAGTACTACTAGTACATATACACACCTTAGTTCCTCTTGGATTCTACTTACTTCAGTCGAATTTCCATCTTCACCCGACTTCTACCTCGATATGGAGCCATATCCAATTCTCCGCCTCCTCCTCTTAGAAGTGACCGTCTGCGCGACAGTCTTAGGCTTCACAAATCCACAATCTCTGCTTCGGTTGGGTGGCTTGCTCATCGTTTTTCTATGTATGTGGCAATGCATCACGACATCTTCCACCTATCTCGTGCGCTCCGCCTGGGCCTCTCTGGCAGGCGGATATGCAGTGACAGTCTTCTTTCATTATATCGACATTGCACTGCTGAGTCAATGGTCCTTTGAGCCAAATGTCTCAGCAACCGAGCGTCCTCAATTCAAGGGTGAACAGGAAGCTATAAGACATCACAAGTCTTCGGTAACGAAGGAATGCAGTTCTTGGAGAGGAAAGTTGAAATTTGGCCTTTCTTCAACATTTACAGCCCGGTTCTGTGGCACCGCACACGAAGTCAGACACGTACCTCGATTTTCGAACAGTGACCCCAACTATGTCCCATCTCGGACCCAATTCATTCGGAGTACTGCCCTGGCAGTCCTTCTTTGCTACCTGATACTCGATGCAATGGATGCGGGCGCCGACCCAGCGATGGTTCGCGAATACTTCTCAGAGCAGAATATCCCGCTTTTCAGACGTTTCCATGATGTCTCTGGCGACGAGCTTCTGATGAGAGCCTCCGGAGGTATTGGAGTTATGATCTGCTTGATGTGCTCTCAAGGAGGCTTCTATAACCTTTTCGCCTTGATTGGCAATGTACTCGGTTTAAGCGCTCCTAAGGACTGGCCACCATTCTATGGATCACCGCTGGAGGCCTACTCTTTGAGACGTTTTTGGAGGTGAGTACCCCGACCTGAATAACTGAACCATTATCATAAACTGGCGAGAAAGAATTCCTGACACAAACATACTACCTATCTCGCCTGTAGTCGTTTTTGGCATCAAATAAACACCCACAAGTTCAATTCCATCTCCAATTTCATCCTGCGCAATGTCTTTAACATCCAAGCGCGCCGGGGATTAATCCCAAAGTACGCCAGGACAGCGACCATATTCTCTATTTCCGCAGTCATGCATTTCCTCGTCGACATCTCGGCCGGCGTCCCAGTCCGCAAGTCTGGCGCGATCCCTTTTTTTTGCACCCAGGCCTTCGGAATCGTGATAGAGGATGCGATTTTGAAGCTGTACAGCTACATCACGGCATACGCCAACGTGAGACTGCCCGTGCCGGTGGAAAGGGTATTAGGCTTTATCTGGGTCGGGCTCTTTTTGATATGGTCTACCCCAATGTATGTGTATCCGATGATGTATCGCACAGCGGCGGGACTGGATGATGCTATAGTTCCATTTAGCATTATTGGGATGCTCAAGTGACGAACCTATATGCTTTTTGGTTTGTGGTAGTTGATCTACTGACTGAGGGAACTGGTTGGTGGGAGTTTTGACCAGGATTGCTAACCACAGGTGTCTCATACTGGTCAAAAAAATGCGGTCCAGCTCATTCAGCGTCGGTGGTGGCGATGGTGGCGATGGCGGCGATGGGATGAGTATTCACAGTATGCACCAACACCTGGTAACTTTAGTTGTACCCTCTCCTCGCCATCAAATCTTAGTCTTATCACCACCGGTCTTGCCTCCCCTGTCAAACACTCTGCTTCTTAACAGAATTCTTTATAAACAGATAAGCTTCCGCTTTTAAAATTTGGTGATTGGGAAGAGGAGAGACTGTATGATAAGAATCTACCAAGCTGCATTCACTACTGGATTGAGTAGAAAGTTACCCTTAACAATAGGACAGTGGCGAAGAATACAGAACAAGATCTGATTTTAACCCCTAGATTTTACTGGCGGATCTTTCTTCAGCCAAAACTGAAAGAGATATTATGTCGGAAATATTTCCATAAAAGTATTGTGTCCGATGATATGTCTGTTGTGATATCTATAACTCGGTATCAGAATAAACTCACCCGACGGTTTGATAGGACAGACATTAATTAATCTGCTATCCAGAAACAGCTTTTCGACTGGGGCGATCTTTTTTTTGCTGGTAAGAGAATGAAACTTGTTATTTCGTTCAACCACATAGAGAAGAGCCAAGATTTAACAAATCGCAGGACAACTGGCAAGCGAGGGGTTTCATCTGCTACCCAGAGCATACTTCACAAACATAATCTTGAGATCAACGCGGAGGAGTTGACTGGAGAACCCGCTGCCTGGAGACACGTCTATACACTAATACACTGCCCCGGCTCATATAAATTAGAACCACATTGCTGGCAGGACCCTTACAGAAAGAAATACTATAAACTCTATAGAGATAAGTTACTGAGCCTAGTCAGATATATACAGAGTAGGAAGAGGTTAGAATTCCATAAGAACATATCTAGTATAATCCGTGAGCAGATCTACAAAGCAGAAAGACAACAGCTGGATAGAGTAAAGAGTCATACCCGCCCTATACATAAGCCAGCTTATCCGCCGATCACTATTACAAATATTCTCCCATCAGCCAAATCATCCTCATCGCCCTCTTCTAAAAGCATACATACTCAATTAACTAGCTCTCCGCGTCTTAGTTTTCCAGGATATCGTGATATAGCGATATAAACATACAGCAACTGACAGCAATCACAAGTTGGTAAACAAATATAGAAAGCTGAGTTTTAAAAAAACGTGTGACGTAGCTCTAGATAATAGATTAGACTTAGAGCAGATCAGCAAGAACAAGAACCCCGAGTACTTCAAAGCCCGAGGTATAAAATAGGATATTACCCGCCAATTTGTCAAAGATATCAAATACTGGATGGACAACTATTATTATAATATAGACAAATAGAGACATGGAAATGTAAGCATATGTAATATTGTTATTCATTTATAAACTGTTATATCTATATTATATAATCTATACAGATAAAGTACACTCTTTAGCCTTTTCAATCCCCAGACCTGTATACCGAAAGTGACCTTCTATACTCTGTACCCTTGAGCCAACAATATCCAAATTCGTCCCAGAGAAATACCGCCATCTCATCCTGATATAAAGTGGGCTTTTCCTTTAGATAGTCACAAAGGGCTTCCAGCATAGCAGACGTGATACTTCGCGGGCAAGCGACACCATTTCCGGATACCATGGCATTTCCAAACACCTGCAGATTGTGACAGATACATATTATGGATTGTTTGCTGCAGTTAGCTACATAGGCGATCTGGGATCTTGTTAGCGATTCATCTGGATCATATGGCTTATAAGCTCCAGTTGCGGGGCTTTCAGGTTGGCTGGCATCCTTGCAAGGTGCGGTGTGGACACTGTTAGTTATAGCGCGTGTAATTTGTCAAGTGGAGACCTGGAGGGGTACAGGGTAAAAGACAACTTCATCGGCCTGAGAGATACTCCGAGAGTAGGAACGGCTTATGTTATATCATCTGATACACATTCCAAACCTCTCAGCGGGGTTCGGACGACCTGGGCAATATGACCTCTCAGACATCGGATACAGTCCCGTGTGGAGGAGTTTTGAAAACCACTGAAGTTATTTTGCTCAGTCTATAAGAATACAGTTAACTGTGCACCTTACCTTCTATCTGTTGCATTCGTCTTCATCTTTATCATACCATTACTCTACTCTCATTTCGCTATCGTAAGCTGAATCGAGAAGAAATTCATTCCTTTTCCTACCGCGCTCAGTTGGATCAACACTAAGGTACATTGTAAATAATAAACAGTGTGCTTATACTGTATACATAGCCAGTATAACATTTCACTTCATATAAGCTTTTGTTGATGTTGCTAACAACCCCTGCGATATGAACTGTTATATCTACCCATGATATCCAACACGCTTAGGAACGTGGAGGTAGGAGTCGGACCGCTACCCCACCTATGAATATATCGCTCAACTTTGTCATCTAGGAAACTGTGGATGTACACCAAGTTATTATACATGGTCCTGGAGCTTATTCGTTCGGCGAAAACAAAGTCTGATTGTTGTCGTTTGCAATAGATACAGCATACTGGGAAAATAAAGACACTAATTGATAAAAACCGAAATCAGTTTTCACCTGGTGCCAGGTCCGTATCCATAATATTCTTGAATAACGGTGGCTTCTGTGCGTGGGCCTTGCCAGCAAACATATCAAGCATATTGATATTTTCCCAGATACTTTCCCACACATAATGTATATTAACGTGATATGGGCGGCACACACATCCACCACCAGCCAGGCTGGGACCCTGATGGACAATTGCTAGGTTTTCCAGGGCCGTTAGGAATACATCCTCCATTAATCAAGCGATACCCCGGTTGGCAACTTCCGCAGTGCTCCCAGTATCAGGGATACATTGGCCTCCGCTATGCTTGGTTCCGAATGGACAACAATTGATAATTTCCGCAGAGCTCGCTGAAGCTGGATCAAAGGGTTTCAAAGAATATTGCATAGATCGGCTGTCTAATGCCAATGCCCATGGTGCTTGTTGCTTGGCTGACTGGGCAAAGGTATTGGTACTGTACAGCCCCAGTGCCGCAACCATTGATAGGTGCATATAATAACCCATGATGGCCGAAAGAGTCTGAAGGAGTCTCTGTAAAAGTTGTGGCTCTAAAATCTGTTCTTGTTAGGAACTCCGAAGTCTCCACATTATATCAAAAGTCTACTCCTCTGAAAGGCTAGTTGTCTGATGTGGGATATATCAGTTGCACCCTCACTGCCTCGAATACTGAACGCATGCGGGATAAAGGCTGCATACATTACACCTTGTTCTGATGATAAACTGCACTGGGATACTCCTGGCTTAACCCTACTAAGATGTATAGATGCCGTTAGGTGACATGGTACTGCGGCTATACACCACATTTTGATTTGTTGTTAGGACTGAAGTAGTATTCAAAATAACAAGTTGACGGTTGCTATGAGCTGTAAAAGCAAGAGCTAGATCTTGATCGAGGCCCTTGTATGTGCATCTTGATCACTGATAAGTCCCTTCTCCTGCCCCATAAACTGACGACTTCACTGTTTAGGAAGCCAGGAGCAGGTGGGAGACGAACAGAGTGACTTTAATGATGCTATGAGAGCGACTGGAAAGGCTACTGTGAAATTTCCAGTAAGAGATCTTCGCTATCTCTCAGCAGTCCTCTCAACGGCCGGAATACCCTCCAGCGGGGGGAATAACATTTCTCATACGATTAGTGATAGCTTGGCGATCCGCGCCAGCAATGCCCATAATTCATCGGGTTTATCTCAACCTATCATTTCGCAGGACATGGCCGGCGTAGAATCTGCCTGATGTCGAATCTAGCTAGAACCACCCCTGAATGCCCACGTGCAGTAGAGAGCCGCTGACAAGGATATCCAAGTCACCGAGGTAGGTTATTTCGTTATATTGATACAGTGACCATAGTTAATATACTTCAACTTAGTTCTTTCTTTTACTTCTATTTCTTGTCTAACTTCTCGAATTGTCTCTTTGCCTTTCCTCATATTCTGCCCCTTCTGCTGTTGTACTGTCCCGCTCTCCTCTCTTACCCAGCCTTACTCTACACTGTGAATTACTAATATCTCTACAGGACCAGAAGTCATAGATTAGTATTCTATTTACTTCGGCCTTATTAGTTACAGGATTCAGCAGAAACCACATACTGAACGTTCTAACCGGCCAGGAATCCCATTAGTCATCTAAAAAAATATCTACAATCTGTGAGAGGGACGTATGTTCAGGTACCCGACAATTACGGCATCAAGGCCACCCCCAGTATACCCTACTAGTATTCTGGAATGGTAGTTCTCATTAGACACTTATTCTATCTCGTCTCCTTTATTCCGTCCTTTCGCCTCCTCGCATTAAACCAATGCACAGCAATTAAGCGCATGGTGAGTAGTCATCTGTATATGCTGACGCAGTTCTGGACTGCAGAAGATCCCTAACTTGGTGCTACCCAGATAAGTTAATTCGATAATTGTATCCTCTACAGCGAAGGGTCTAGATCGTAAATGTATCCAATGCCTCGTTAGATTGGTGAAACAATACCTACGTGATCGAATCCAACATCCACATAAGATTGGCCCACTAAGTGTTGGGAATCGGTTTAATCTACCTTGCATATTGCAGACTGTGGAGCTCGAACATCTAGGGTGTAAAAAGCGTACATATTGTGTATCTAAATATTACGTGTATGGGACATGATGGCAATTGGCTTGAGTTCGACGTTCAAACATATCATTACAACATCTCTCGAAGCGGTTTAAATGAGATGGATGCGTCGGACGTCTATTACCGTTCATGGACGACGTGGCGCTACGCCAGTTCAGGTTAGGCGTGATCAGTCATCAACTTGTTGGTCTTGGCAGACCCGCTGCTTGCGACGGCGGAGTTGCTTGGAGCCTCGCCGTCCTTGTTTCCCCGTTCTCTCTCTCCTCTCTGCTCTTTTTTCTTTGCTTAAGAAACTTTGTTCCAGCAAGAGACTCTTCTCCTCTCCTTTGTAAGTTCTCGCTTGGTCCACTAGTCGATTAAGTCGAGCTCCGGGCACGGCGACTACTTCAGACTTCGTCCTGACTTACCTATCAGCTATTTACGTTCGCCTACTACTGCGCAAGCTAGGCTACGAAATTCCCCGACTTGATTGTTGCTTCGTCCTCAATTCAAAGAGCTACAAACGCTCTCGCTCCTGATACCCATCTTCCAATCCTTCCTTACGATCTCATCCCCAAATTACCGCTCTATCGGCGTATCCGACAAAACGATTGCGTAGACCGAAGCAACTCACCCAGCTCTCACAGTCAAAATGGATCTTTCTAATATCTTGTATGTTCTGTGTCTTGTGTTTGGCGAGAATTTGGGGCTGCGTGGATGGAGTTAGGGACTGATTATCTGCAGTCGACTTGTCAACATCGCCGTTGGCGTGATTATGGTTCTGGGCGGTATCTCCCAATTCTTCCCTCCGTCCATGAGCTCCATCATCGTTGGTGGATATGTGATTGTCTTTGGTCTCCGTAAGATGAGCCTGTTTGCCCCTCCGTTGGCCTGTGGATACTAATATAACACTGCTCATTAGTTGTCGCTGGGCTGGAATTCCTGCCCAACGTCCCGGATTATGTCTACCGCTATGCTTCTTTCCTGTTCTCCTTCCTTGGCCGCGGTATCTGTGAGTCTCCATTCTTAGCTGCGTATCCACACTTCTCCTTTGGGTACTGATCAATTGATCAGTCTATATCTTCGTTGGTTCGATCCTGCTGCACGACCACGTGTTGCGCTACATCGCTGGCTCTATTGTCGGATTTATCGGCGTGGGTTACTTGGCCCTGGAGTTCATCCCCTCGATTGAGCCCCCCTCCAACATGCGCGAGAGCGACCAGGGATGGGGCGCCGAGCAGGTTTAAATGCGGCCGAGAAACGTTTGGTCCGGTGACGGGGCAGTTGCATAGCGTACGAGTTAGATTGCTTACGCCAATTGATATTCGCCATGTAGCCCTACGGATGCACAAGGCGCAATGCGCCGCGGATAGAAATGGAGTGGTGAAAGCAAGGGGAAAGAAGCGAAAAAAATGGTCTCTTTCTCCTCGGCGATGTGCGATGATCGACGAGTGCGATGAATATCTATGCGACGACTCAATGGATTCGCGATCTGCAAAGATAGCGAGAGAGATACTTATGCAGGCGAGATCGCCATGTGGATTATGGCTATTTGTCCGTTTGTGGGAGTGGATTCATGGATAATTCTTTTTTCTTTCTCAGGTCCGATCTTGGACGGACAGATTTATACTGTGCTTTTCTTGTGCCCTGTGGACCTTGTACTATAGGTGGTTTGTCGTATACTCTTTCTGACATTTAAACTTTTGGAGACATCAGATAACTCGATTGCGTGGCTCTGTGTGTACGCTGTGGTCTGTTACCATAGCGCTGTCTGCGTAAGACGCTGATTTTTCAATATTTCGAGAATTCAAACGATGCAAGTGCTCGTGACAATATAAAGAGAATGACAAAGAAATAAATAATAAATAAATGAAAAATGAAAAATAAAATAAAATAAAACAATGAAAATGAAAAGACAATAAAAAAGATAAATTGAAAGGAATAACAAAAGAAAAGTGAAGACCCTTACTGCACCAAGCCTTGAGGTCGAGCGTACGGACTCGATACAGATCAATCAATCCAAGATTGTAAGAACCGGAAGTGCAACACCAGTCAACTGCCGAGCAAACCTACGGAGTACAGATAATCTGACAAGTACACACTAGGCCTCCATCCAACGCATGTTCAGCCTTACTCATAAGCACATGATCGCAGCATATCCTATTTAAAAAAGATAATACTACTATCTCCCCAACATCATCATTCGGCTTACGTTCATCATCCGTTTAGGAAGGTAATAAGAAAAAAATTTTTGGTATAATAGGAGAGATTACGAAACATCTCACCACCCGTCAAATTAAACCCCCTAACTTCCCAAATGTAAGCACTACCACTTAGATGATTTTCTCCCCGCCCGAAACCCCAGGCTCTAATGCAGGGTTATTCGTTAAGTCCCGACCACCAAGACTAGACTTAATCATCGACTAAGGCATTAGTCCACGCCACGATGTAAGATGATCGGAGAATCCGAAAATTAACTCGTGTGACCGTCATGATGTCACGGGTCAGTTCTCTCTGCCCCAGTGGAACTGGATAGATGACCGACAGAGATTCGAGGAGTCATCATTCGAGCCAAGACAAAGATGGATCGATAGATTAGATTCGGAGATAGGCCTATCCGGGCTATTCGGGGATATTGATGACGACTTGTTCGGGGGGACTTAAGTCCGGTAGGACCGGGTTGTTTATATACTGTAGACTAGGTGCCAATAGGACTAGGTGGTTGTGAAGTTGTACTCGGGTTCGCGGCATGCGTGTTGAGTTTGGTTTAGGGGGAGTCTTGATCATAAGGTTTGTACAGTTGGTTCATTGCCATAGGTATCAATCTCCTGATAAATCACGCCATGGGTTTGCGAGCGCGGACGGGAACGTTGAAGAGATTACTACGGTTTTTGGGGTGGAATGATATGATATCGATGATCGCTACAACTCATGGCGTATCTGCGCTCGTGATAGACATGTTACGTATCGACTTTGATTAAAAGGAGGGAAAAAAACGATCATTCGTACTTTTGAATCTAGGCCATTTGGGACTCGGAAAAAGGGACAAGGTGTCAAAATCGGGGAACGGGCCCCGAGGACGGACTAAAAGAGAGGATTATCAATCGTCCATGAATTAGGAACGAGTACGGAACGAATCAGTGCCGAGCGAAGAGGCGCTGTTGGTGACGTGTGGACCAATCACGGTGGCGGAAGATTGAACGGGGGCGTGAAGTTTCCCTCGCCGGCGGGACGAGATAACAAATAGTTACCCGGACTAGTGTCTGGGTAATTTCAATTTGGCATTATGTGACCTTATGCGTCCGGTCTCCTAGTGACCGGTGGCTAAAAATCGGCGTGAGCCGAGGAGAAATCTTCAGCGAGGATCTATTGGGTGGAGATGGTGATAGATTAGAACGTCAAGAAGGAGATGGAAGGTGTCCGACGATCCTATCAGCGTGGCGAAAATAATGCTGACTTGAGAGAAATTTGCTGCTGAGCGAATGAAGAACGAGAGAATTAGGCTTATTTCCATGACCAACAGACTAGGTACTGTTCTGGGAAGGTGCATTCCCACTAGACCCAAAACGCTAGACTAAATGTGGTAGCGGTGGAGCCAGATGATACGATCTGGGGAGAAGCAGAGCAATCATGATGGATGCAATGGAAAGGGAAAACGAAAGAGGGAATGTGACTTTGCTCTTAGCCAAAAAAAAATCAAAAAGAGATTTACCACAAGGCAAAAGTTTTGTAAATTAACCAAACTCAACAAAGCGACCCTTTCCCAACTTCTTGCACGACGACAAGAACTGAAAAAAATCCTAAACAACAATCCACTGCAGGGGAAAAAGCAAAAATACCAACAAGAAAGACCGGTGTAGATCCTCCCCCCTTGGAGATCGATAACGAAACATCCTTCGATAAGACCACGCTGTTGGGACTCGGGGAATGTGACTTGGGAGCTTTTCCAGGCAACAAGAATAGAAACGTAAGGGTAAGTTGGTGGTCTGGCCCTTTTTCGTTCTTTTCTTCTTTCATCTTCAGCAGCAGCATCATTATTACCCACTTTTTCCGCCTTTCCCAATTGTGTGTCCTCGTTCTTTATCAATCAATCTATCTCTCACGCCTCATTCTTCATCCTTCCCACGTCGTCATTCCTCCCCCCCCCCCCTCTTCTGTCCCTTCCGCAGAAAACTCGTGTGATTATTTTCTTTTTTTAGTGATTTTGTATTTTCTTAAATTCTATTTTTCTTTTTTCTTGCGAACCCTGGTCACCTCCACATATCATATCTGATCGGATTGATTGATCGTCCTTCCCCGTCGATCTTTCTTGTCTACGCTTTCACTTTGGGTCTTCTACATTCCACCCCCTGCTTCCACCTGTCGAGTCTTTCAGCTTGCCTCTTCATTCTCCTCAACTCTATTATTCATTGTAATCTCCATCCTTACCAAAACAGAAGAAAAAGAAAAAAAATCCAGCACCGATAACCGCCTCAACCACCACCTGGCGTCACGCCGGATCGCCACCCAGCCTCGTCTCGGATTGGCCAACAAAACCACCTTCGTGGCAGATCAGGCGTCTATTTCCATTCTCCTTCTAGTCGAATATTTCCTCCTCCTTCCCTTTTCACTTTCGGGAATCCGACTCCACCCTATTATCTCTGAGCCGCTGTCAGGGATAATCGGTCTCGCTTCCCCGGTTCCGCCTGGTTGGTTTAGGAGTCTCACTAGCTGCGTCTCTTTTACTCTACCGGTTCGCCCTTCGAGTTAGGCGTTTTAACTTTTCTTTTTCTCCTGCACTGTCATCTTGACCGACTTTTGACTTTGTGATACAATACATTACAACCCCGACTGTGGTGCAACCTACCCTCATCCTCCCCTTATTTCGACGATCCGCCTCGAACGAACATCTGCGTTAGCTCTGGGGGTCTATACTGCCCTTCCCTGGGTTGTCATCACCCCAGAACACCAAGCAAAGAGAAGATACCTTCTTCTGACCGACCGCGGTGGAAATGTTAGCGTCCCTCCCGCAGATGGAGACGGTACGATCGCTCCCCCGGAATCCGGACGTTGTTGCGCGACACCCATCCGCAGAGGACCTTGATGCTGCGCAGCAGTTGATATCATCGGCCCAGGCGGGTCGGGAACATCCTGTCGACCGACTTCGCGACGAAACAGGGCCTAAACGCTACGAAGAAATGCCCGGTCACGGTCCCTACGAAGCAGACAAGTTCTTAGATATGTCGACACCGTATCCGTCGGAAACTGGTGCAAATCAATCAGAGAAGTCTTCGTCACCGAAGTCCCAGAAAGATACTTCATTTCTAGGGCATTCGTGTAGGTTAGTATTCGGTCTTCCTCCTTGGCTTAGATCTTGCACGTCGTACTGACTTGAGACGCTTTACAGTAATTGTGGAACAAAAAGCACTCCATTATGGCGGCGTTCCCCGACGGGAGCTATGATTTGCAATGCTTGCGGTTTATATTTGAAGGCTCGTAACGTTGCTCGACCGACAAAGCGCAACCGTGTACACGCTAGTCCAGAACTCACGCAACCCCCGAGTAATCCTTCGCATCCTCCCCACGATCCACCTGCTCCATCATCGCACAAGGCAGGAGGCTGTCATGGTTCAAAGGGCTCGTGTCCTGGCGGAGGAAATTGCAATGGTACAGGAGGGGCTGAGGGGTGTGACGGATGCCCCGCTTACAACAACCGTGTGTACAAGTCGACTCCCCGGGGCACGGTGCCTGTGCATGCTTGGAATCGAGCAACAACCTCAGAGAGTGAGAAGCCTCCTCCTCTACAGGAGCCTGAGCTATCGGTCAAGAATGGCACTCCAATAACGACCACAGAAGGCAATATGTTGGTATCCTGCCAGAATTGCGGCACTACGGTGACTCCACTCTGGCGACGAGACGAGAATGGTCACCCAATCTGTAATGCGTGTGGTAGGTTTTGCAACTTTTTTTTTTCATTTCTTTTCTTTTTTGTTTTGCCAATTCTTATAACAAAAGTCGTAATTGTACTGACAAATAATTTAGGTCTCTATTACAAACTGCACGGTTGTTATCGGCCTACCACGATGAAGAAGACTATCATCAAACGACGGAAAAGGGTTGTGCCGGCGCTGCGAGAGCATTCTCCGACGGGGGCCACGCAGTCATCGAATGGGTCTTCTGCCTCACCGGAAGCGTCTCCTGCTACATTGGCTCCTCACGACGATCATTATCGCTATTACAGCTCGGAACCCATGGACCGTTACAAGCACATGTCTGGTGATCGTATCTCACCGCAGGCCCCAAGACAGTTTGGCTTCGCGCCGCCGCCTGTTGATTTCACCGGGTTCGGCTCTGCGACGATGTCCTTGCCGCACCACCCTCCCCCGCCGAGGCTGTTAGAGCCAGATCGCATCAACGCTCCCAGCCATTCTCCCGTCTCCCAATTCGCTCGACGATCCCTCTCGCCTAATCCTGCGAATCCCAAGAAACGGACTCTCGCAGAGACCGCGTCATCTGCGGAGGCCGCCTCGATCCCCACAACGTTGGAATCAGGGTCGAACCAACTACCCCCCATCATGTCAGCTGCCAACCCTTCCCCGCCGGGCCGGCTCAGCTCGATTTCTTCCATTCTCAACCACCCTAACACGCGGGACGAGTCACGCTTGGACCCGTCGCTCGCTGCACTAAGTCGCCAGCAGCACCAACACTCGCACCAGGCTCTGGCGCCTCCACCCCCTCAGCCCTTGCCCGGAGTCACCGAGCTCGACAGTATGCGGGAAGAGCGTCGGGCCCAGCTACAGCGGGAAGCTGAGGAGATGCGGGAGATGCTGAGAGCGAAGGAGCGAGAATTGGCCGAGTTGGGACGGCAATGATCGTTATTTCCTTTCTGAGACTCGATGTCTGAATGTGCTTTTTGCTCATTTTTATCCATTAATACACCAGGCGCAGCTGTTGCTTTCTGACGAGATACCACTTTCAACAGTCGATGGCTTAACGGGGGTTTTGTTTCCATATTCAGGGAAAAGTGGCTTTGGGTTGTTTGTGAATTACCATGTGTTATTTGAAGCGGGAATAGCGGGTTTACCAGAAAAAGAGTCCAGGGAGGCTTCGTCTTTATGTTTGATAACTACATATCTCTCCTCAAATTGAGGTTTTAATTTCGGAAACGTCATACATACAACATACAACATGCAACATGCATACATACATACATACATACATACATAGAGTGATGAGATAGATCAGGAAATCGGATATTTGCATTTCTGGTAACTGTCTATGTTTCGGATTCGTTGAATATGACCGACAGTACAGATGGAACAAGTCCAATTTCGTGCATTCGGCACGGCCCGAGATCGATGAGTGAACTCATCATGATGTATATGACATGACATATACATCCTTAGATGCATTAGTCCAAAATCCAAACCCAACCTCCCCTCACAATAGCCATATACCAATACAACAAGCTAACTAATCAATCAATCAATCAAAAAAAAAAAAACAATGTCCCCAAGATCCTACACCCTAGCCTTCACCGGCGACGTCATGCTCGGCCGCCTCATCGACCAACTCCTCCCAACCCACGTCCCCAACCCAACCGACCACTCCACAATCACCAAAATCGTCCAAGCCTACCCATCTCTCAAATCCTACTCCCATCGTTCCCCCTGGGGCACCGCCCTGCCCCTCCTCCACGCCTCAGACCTCAATATCATCAACCTCGAAACCGCTGTCACCACCGTGGACACGCCCTGGCCGAATAAAACCTTCAATTACAGGATGCATCCCTGCAACCTGGAGATCCTGAAAGTAGCCCAGATCAACTATGTGAGTTTGGCCAATAACCATACACTGGATTTCGGGGAGATGGGGCTCAGAGAGACGGTTGAGGCCGTTCGGGGCGCGGGGATCGGGTTTGCGGGTGTTGGGGAGGCGCCGGCGGTTTTGGGGCTGGGGTCTGAAGGGGTTTATGGTGGTGGTGTTTCTTCTACTGCTGCTGCTGCTGCTGCTGCTGGGGGTGGTAATGGTAATGGTAGCAGTGATGAGTATAAAATCCATATCTACTCCGCCTCAGACCACCCGCGCACATGGTCCCATATCCCGCAGTTCAATTTCATAGATTATAGTCCCGCCTCGCGCGCAAGGCTCAAGACGCTCCTGACCCGCGGGGAGAAGCCCGCGCTGAAGATTTTCTCGGTGCACTGGGGCCCTAACTATGCGTGGCGGCCGGCCGGGGAGATCCAGGCTCTGGCGCGGTTCCTGGTCGACGAGTGCGGGGTGGATATTGTGCATGGGCATTCGGCGCATCATTTGCAGGGCGTGGAGGCTTATCACGGCCGGTGGATTATGTATGGGTGTGGGGATTTCGTGGATGATTATGCGTTGAATGCCGAGTTTAGGAATGATCTTGGGGCGCTTTGGAGGGTTGTGGTTGAGGAGGATGGGAGGGGTGGGCTGTCTTTGGGTAGGTTGGAGGCTGTTCCGACGAGGTGTCAGTTGTTTGAGGTTGAGGTTTTGGGGGTGGATGATGAGGATCATGCTTGGGTTAGGAGGAAGGTCGGGGAGTTGAGTAGGGAGTTTGGGACGGTTGTTCGGGGGGAGTTGGGCAGGGATGGGCAGGTTGTTATGGATTTGGGATGATGTTATATTATATTATATCGGATTTTTGGGTGGAATCTTGTGGCTTCTTGTATGGTATGTATGTATGTATGTGGTGGAGTTGATGGTCATTATGGTATCATGCGATAAATGTACAGTTGGGCCTCCCATGAGATAATAGTCGTGTGCCAAAAAAAAAAAAGAAAAGAAAAGAAAGTGGTTTCCGTGAAGACATGGACAGGATGGTGGTATAAAGCTGGTAACAAAAAAGAATATACAAAGAATGTAAACGGGGTAAGTGGCGTCAATCATGGTTCCATGACGAGTCTTCGTTGACTGGTGGACTCGTCGTATTTGGAGGTTTCTTGGTACATCTCCGTGGTCACTTCGATGCCCTTGAAGGCGTCGGGTTTCCTTTCGCCGTGCTCGATATCGATCGTGCACATGCCGAAATCGTCGTTTTGTGAGGGCAGATGCATCCGTGTGACTCGGGACCGAGTAGTGGCAGTAGCGGTTGGATTCCGGGTGTAGCGGTTGTAGCTGTGAGTCGACAGGAGCTTAGGGAACAGGCAACTGACAATCGGTCGCAGGAAGGGAAGACAGGCGCAGATGATGGCCACATTGCACTCCGCTGCGGTCCAGTACGCGGCGCCCACGTTGCTGTCTGATTAGGGTTAACGATGGATACCATGCAATCAGTCTTGGTTTTCCTTACAAGATGTGTCGGGATCGTTCGCGACCGTGCGAAGACTTGAAAGTCGCAGGATGCTGGTTATGACCACCCTGCTTGCAGTTAGCATCAACCCTCCATATACAATTGCCACAGGGGGAGACCAACAGCCCACCGATGGCGAAAACACCCATGAGGGCAAATTTTTGTAGGCGCGGGAGCTGTAGTTGAGAGAGAAGAGGCATCGGCAGGATAAGGAGCGTGAGGTCGGTGACGATATTCATTGATGCATTGAAGAACCAAACGCCCTCGAAGCTCAGACACGAGCCAGCGATCGTTCGATCCCAGAACCTGGCCACGGGGACACAGTTTACGTAGGCACTCACAACAGCCCAGGTCCCGTACAACGCGACAACGCCCATCACGACCCAGCAAGCGATACGGAATCGACGGTCGGGGAAGATGCGGAGATATTGGAAAAGAATTGAGAATTTAGTGAATACGAGACTGGCATTATACATAGGAATGGCCGCCCAAAGTCGCTACAGCAATAGAGGATGAGTATTATGCCAGACAGTGGATGTACTTTGCGATTGCATACCTTCAGTTGTTGTTTCAATTCATCATCGGATAAAGCAGAATTATGCTTGCCGAGCCCAAAATGCACCTCTGTTACGAGTCAGAACTGGCCTGAAGCGATATCAAGCAAAGCCTCTCGGGAAACTTACCAGCAGCAACTAAAGCGAGGTAGACAATGGCAAGGACCTGGGATAGGTAAGCAACTCATCGAACAATGTACGACAGCAGCTATCCAGCAATGGCGCTTACTAGAGAAAATAGAATTGTGTAATCTTCACGACCGATCATTTTCAGCAAGCCAATCCTAGCGTACATCCGCATGCCAACGATGAGGATAGAAATGGCCGTTAGCACGGCTGTCACCACCAGTGCACGTTGTCCCCGTGATGCTCCGTCATCACCGTCTCGAGGAAAGAGAATATGTGGCAGTATTTCGTCCATTGTGATGATATGATATTAATAAAGAGTGACTCGAATCGATCCTTGTGTACAAAAGGAATGTGATATCCGGTTTATCATTAGCCTGAATTAGCTGCGCATCAGTAGTCTATCCTAAATGATGCACAGTCCCCAGGCTTGTAACCAGAGGTCAGTGTAGAGTGAACTGCATGAAAGATTGTGGCATCAATGACTTTGGCGTGTGTGGGGGGTTATCTATGAAAAGCTTGGTGGGCTTTGGAGAGAGATGGGCCCTCGTTCTGCTGGATATGTAATAGTCAAAGTTTGATAGTCTTCAATAGCGTACTCTGAGTCCCAAGAGAGAATCAGAATGACTCGCTGGGAGCCTGCAAAGTATTAACAGAATGACTAGTGCCTTACGTTTTTCTTGCATTCCTTTCGCCCATGTGGTTCCATAGTGGCGGTAATCGTCTGCATTGTGAGTACTAGCTATGAAGGTACTTGGCATGTCTCCACACGCGTCGTCGTCTATGTGGGTTGCATGTCCTGTACAGCGAATCAACGATTGTGTTGCGACACTGTCTGATAGACATTCTGTCAATGTGGTGTCGTCGACTCGTTATAGGCAGGCCCATGGTAGCCACATTCTGTTAGTACTTCCTTGAAGAGGATAGATTTACTCGTGCCGTGGCCGGGAGCGGAGTCGTCGGCATTGTTTAGCGCCTCTGATTCGGGCTTTTCCTTTGCTCCACCCACAAAAAGCCCCAGTGCCAGTTTGGCTTTTAGTGCGCACGAGTACATGGAGGTCAACGAGGGGTTCAGCGTGGCGAGGTATTGCCATGCAAGACCGATAGTTCGCTCAATAGCGCATCTTATCTTGGATTGGACTTATTGAAATGATATAATAACCATAAACCCTCGCGATTAAGGTCGGATTCCAGAGCAATAAACATGGCTGGGTCTTCGTTTCGCCTTTATGAAATAAATCATGCCATGTTGGGTCCGAGTGGGTATAAAGTTCCCAGTAACTTAGTTTCCGAAAAGTTCCAAGGATGCTGTTCGCGTATAGGATGTTGTATCGGAGTACCCATGGAATGCAGCTTGTCGGTACCGCCGCAAGTGCGGGCTGGCCGCAACAGATCTCTGAATTGGTATGATCGTCGGTTCTCCAGGCACAACGCCATCGCTTGGAGTATGATTTATGCAAGCAATTGGTTTATCCAAGTGCTGATACACAGTACAGTCTCTGATTTTTGGGATGTAGTCCCAAGTTCCAAGATCTCTTTCTGCAACTCTCTTCCCTTTTAGGTTCCGAGTCAGGCAAGGGACGATCATTTACTCCCCGACAGCCAGCCAGTTCATTCGAAGTGACTAGTTTTAGCCTCCACCGCGAATCTTGGCCGAAAGGGGCAAATATTGGCCTTCTGTTGCTTGTGGAGCAGATTGTCTACTGAAGAAGTCTTGACATCCTGGACTCATCCGTCGTAAGCGGCCTGTTCACCGAATACGAAGCATTGTCGGAAAATAAGACCTGCACACAGGTTGGCCATGGCTGGCTTTACAAGGGACAGAGTCCCTCTTCGTTGCATGATCGACACGGCGGAGTGTCGCTAGACAGTACGACGGCGTCTACCGGGCTTCCTTGGCTATCAAAGTTCGGCGCACCAAGCCAAACCAAACAAAAATAAAATAAAATAAAGTACGGATGGCAATTGCCAGCCGACTGCTGTGTTTCAATGACCGGCAATGGATGATGCAAGTAATTCAGAACGTTTCAAAAGTGGATGTGGAGAATATCGGTGTAAAATATGCCGGGAAGTACTCGGTACACAACACGGAGAACCTCCGGACGTGTTTCACGCATATCTCGCCCTTTTTTGGCCATTAGGGTTCATGTTGGCGGCTAAAAATGGTCACTTCAGCAAGCCACTCTTGACCCAATAGAAACTAATTTCTTGCATGCATGGCCTACTGCCAAGTGAACGCAAGGGGCCTCCGGGTGGCACATGTATGTAACTTTACATACATACAGATTCAACAGCACTATTGCGTCGCTCGGCGATCTTCGGGCTCCAACAAGACGGTACGCACGCCACTATTGAATTCCATTGCTGCAAAGAACGAAGTCGGTCGAGTGTGATTGATAAGAACGATCTCGCAGAAGGCTGGATGCCACAAGCTTTTCCACTTAGGGAAGACTAGTCTTGACCCGCATTCCATGTGGTTCAGCCTTTTCCACGTTGCCCTGCATTAGCTTCTTTTTTGCCCCTTATTGAATAAGGGTCAAGAGGCTAAACCATCGATGCTATATAATCCCTTTAAAAAATAAATGAATAAAGTAAAATAAGGAAGAAAATGCATAAATGTTGACGGTGTTTCCCGTAGACAACTCCCAGTCATGGGGAGAGCAAACCGACCGGGCTGAATACACTGCAACGGTGCCATCGACGTCAGATATGTCAATTGAGGCCTAAGCTGTCCATCATCCCCACTGGTTAATACCACTGTGTTATTGCTGTCAAAGATCGCGCGACGATCGTTGACCAGGTGAGGGGAAAAGAAAAAAGAGAGAGAGAGAGAGTTGTGTTTAGCGAGGGTCGACAAAGTGACAATTTCCCCCCCTGACGATCACCTGAAACGGTCAAGCACTAAAAAAAACCCCCACAAAATCATGACGACATATACGGAGAAATTGGGCGATCTTGTTCGCTTCGAACGGTCACAGGATTTATCTAAAAGCTTGAAAGCAGCATTGAAAGGACGGATCGCCAAACACTGTCGCTTGACATGCACAAAGTTTCACCAGGTGCGGTTCTACGCCTCTCTGTCGGGGAGAGATACTGTCACGAGAGCCTACCGACCTTTGCCCTAAGATAATGATAGATATCAAACCCACACCAATGTTGCCTCTTGGCTAGCTTTCGATCCCAGTCCTGACAAGACCCTTCGAAGCTGGAAACTTTCCCCATCAGAGTGTTTCAAATAACCCCATCCCGTCCAAGTAACCGACATCTCGTTGGAATTTGGCCCCCGGCTTGTGAAGGCCGTGTAAGAACTGAGATTGATATCTAGCCAAAAGGCAACATTAGTGCGGGTTCAAAAAAAAAAAAAAAAAAAAACGTCTTGGGGTCAGCATCAGTAGTAACGCTTGAACCCCCTTGGTCCGAACATATTCTGAGCCTTGATGTATAATAACCGACGGCGGTTGGCAATCTTTATCTTCAAGCCCAGTTTCCAAGAACTTAGATTATACTTCCAGCGTTGAAGGCGGGTCTTCTTAAGAGAGGCTTTCTTTCGACCGCCACCCGGCGTCCTGCTGAGGGCTTCCCAGGTGTCGGTTGAATCCGTTGCATGCTGGGGGTTGATAAAACCCGGCCAGTCTTCGTAAGTCTCTATAATATCTATAGTGTCAGCAACCTGATCAGGTGTGGTATGGGCTTCGAAACGCTGGGTTTTTGTTCGTTGTTTTCCTTTTCTACGGTCGTTGGCATCCGCTTCTCTACATCGCCCATCGCAACTTTCTTCGTCGCTATTCTCAAGAAAGACATCGGAGAGCGTATCGTGATCTCGCTCATGGATTGAGCTATCGCTGAGCGGCTCTATACGATTGTCTTTGATGTCATCAATTAGTATAAATCCCTTACGATATAAAGCAGACGTCTCACCTGCAGGCCATTCCAAATCTCCCAGGTTCATGGACTGCCTCAGCAAAGAAGGCTTATAGGCCCTGTGTTGTCTCTTTCGGTAGAAATTCTCTGCTGCGTTGCGGCAAGCTTTTTCATATTTATCTTCAAGCTGAGCCTTGTGAGCTCCCCACTGGTGCCTTGATCGTATGTTGCAAAGGCTAATGAAGCCGTTGCCGCAGGCCACAGATCTACTTTGATAGTGTTCGATAATCCCCGTATCTGGGATCCTGCATTCCTCCCATTCAAATCGATCTTCCTTCCATCGGCCATGTAAGGTATAGAATCTGGAAACGCGGCCAGTAGCCCATCGAACGAGATTGAAGCCTTCACGGTCCAGATCCTGCATACCTTTCTCGAGGCCAACAATAACTGGGTCGATGAACATCAAGGCCCTCGCAAAGATAGATTGAAAGCGAAGCTCATCTCTGGGCTTGGGTATCTTTGGATCTGTCAATTGGAAAAGAAGGGAGATCGCTGGAGGCGTCCCACTGGATTCATAGATCGGGTAACCGAGCCAGTTGAAATGGTGTATATGTCTTTCTTCGTCATGGGCCATACAAGATTCGCGAAATATAAACTCTTCGTCAAGTTCAGTTTTCATCTGTGCAGCCTCGTTGTTGTACTCATTGCTATAATATAGGTCGTTCTCATGATCTTCTCTGACATGGGGTGAAGCGCTCACAGTAGGTCTACTTGGTCCCGAGGCTGGTTCTACCTGTTTCTTTTTTCCATAGCGACCTTTTCTCCCGTGCCGATAACGCGTACGATGAAGTTCTCCCCGTACCGGGGAGATGTTAGTTCCTAGCTGAGAAGAGATGGGGGTATTAGTATCGCCATGTTTTTCGGGTCTATTGCCCGCCCTAGAACTCGAGGCGGAACTGGTGTTAGATTTCAAACGCTCATACTGTTGCTCGAGAGCCTCCTCAACATCCTCTGCCCAGTCAAAGCTAGACATGGGCCTAAGAGACCCAATGATGAACTAGGCAAACGAACAACTGGTGGTTAGTGAATAGTGCGATACCACATGGCCGAGTCAGTCACTCACCTGCTTGCGAAGGGTATCACAATAACGACCCATAATCAGGGTGGGAATAATCAATAGATGAATGTGTATAGATTTTCTATAATGTGGAGGGCGTCCTGTGAATGTAGCTGTCTAATCTGAAGAGAGACCGGGAAAGCTTAAGCAGAGGATACATTGAAGTAGCCACTGAAGATTAGGGAAGACATAAGGTGCATATATACACTGCTTCTGGGAGATTATAGTGGATTTTGGCTTTGTGAACTATTGCAGGTTGCTGTAAAAGGTGGTAAAGACTTGCCAATACATTCAAGGCTGTGCTATTCCCTCAGGAAAACACCAGGCCCCGAATATAATAATGGCTGTAGGCCCAGTGCTTACTTTCAGTTGAACTAGATGAATAATTGGACCCACGCATATAACTGAGGGAAGATTCCATCTTATAACTAGAAAGAAGCTGGGGGTTTCTTTCATGTCCATGCTGTCCAAGCCGCATTGCTCATAACCCTACTCAACCTAAAGCATCATTGTTGAATGTAAGATAAGGTACACCATCTTGGAAGCCTGGAACAAAGAGAAAGAAGATAGAATAATATACTAGCACTATCTAGCATGTTGTGCAACGGTAGCGGTAGTGTTTATTTGATAGTGCTGGAGCTTGCAGACGAGGTTTATCAATGAAATGCAGATGCATGTATGTTTGTGTCTGCCATGTACTGGCTTATTCACTACCCAAGCTTATGTTCGGGCTTCCTAGTGGAGTTCTTTATAGATAAATAATTCTCTTCAATGGGAATATGCTTGTTTCAAGAATGTCAGATGATGTTTGTGGAACTCCATATATTGAACGCTCCATGACCTCTTTGAAAGGAGCATCTAGAATCTTCCCATTATTACATGGGACATTCCTCCCACCTTCAAGTTGAGTCCATGTTGACTAGAAATGCTGCGTATTAACAGATCCCAAGCGCCATTGTTCCGAGTTTCTAGCACCTTATTGTTTGTTTTATAGTTTACTAGGAGTTGAAGACAACAAACAAGCATGTAGGACACCAGACAATGAAGAACAAGGACTAAACTAAGTTTTGTGCATCTTTGTAGTTTACCTTATCAAAATATTAGCTTAGATGCACAGCATCACGTTACATAGAAGAAAGCCCATTGTTTTATAGGCGACTTGGTCGCGTAATTGATTAAAGATCCAGCTACAAAAGATTCCAAGAGCAGAAACATATATCCGACTTTTATCTATCAAGTACAAAGCCTACAAAAAGTCAGACAGCACACTATATCTATACCAGAATACCTACCCAGTACAGAGGCTATAAGGCTGTTCTTTGTGCTCTTCGTTCTCCAGTTGGACTTTGCTCTCAAGAACTAGCCGCTATAATTCAAACCTCACCGACCTGCTTTGATTCATGAACAGATGTTTGTAGTGGCCTAGACGTCTTAATCCCGCTTGAGTTTGTCCAATACTTTGAAACGACTACGTTGGTGCAATTATCTGCACTCAGGCAAGCACAATCACCTAAATAAGTTTCCATCCTCATGGTGCAGGATATGATATGGTAGATGAGTTCTCTCTACCTCAGTTTCCGACAGGATATATTTACGGCTGCCAGCAAGGTCTAGGACACCAGTTTGGGAAAAATATTAATCTGGCCATATAAGTGGCATCATGTCATCAGCGTCGGACTTATAGGCAATGACATACTTTTCTATTCCGTCCGGTAATTTTATCATGGATGTTCCAGCTATTAACCTTACTGTCCAGACACATATCTTGAACTCCATATATAGGAGAGTTAGATTCTAGTAAAAATAGCCCTGGCAAAAGACATTCGGGCTAATACTCGACTATATATAAACATAGGAAACTATATTATAGTCCAAATTTGAAATTTGCCGAGGAAGAAGAATCGAAATAATAAGTCGCTTTTGTTGAAGTTCGACAATATTTGATCAAATTAGTCTCATGGGGTCTATAAGGTACATATACATTGAGCTTTTCCATGAGATGATTAAGATTGCAGTGGAAGCAACTCATGAGTGCTCCAAAGATGTCAGCCAACGTTCGTTAGTCTTAGTACCTCTATTTTACGTAGGGTTGACAGATAGCGCAAGTCTAACCAATTGTCTTTTGTACTAGAGAGAAGAGCTAGAGGCTACTAAATTCGAAGTGGCTCAACATACCAATCAGGTACCTGACGACCTGCTACAGATGCAAAAGGCTAGTGTACATCTGATAACCTTAAAACTAACTTTTATGTACCCTGGACTATGGTTGACAACCCCTTTTTCTATTGGTGAATAGTGCGTTACTTCCATGATTATTAGATTACAGGAAAGTATATACTTATGCCTTGATACAGGGTCTTGTCTAGTGTGGGAAGTAGTCATTGAACTGGTATTGAATATATTCCAGCTGTATTTGCTATTTTTAAATATACTTTCCAGAAGTATATATACATGTCCAGTATCAATGGGTGGGCCATTTCTCTGTTTCGTTCCCAAGTGAGTTCCAGTAACTCAACAAATATCTCCTTTATCGAAGTATAGCAGATGTCATATAGCCAACCATACTGTGGCTATACTTCGACGCAATACCATCTTCCAATGACGTTAGAAGAAGGGTAGTCTTCGGCTGGAAGGCCGATCGGCCAAACCTTCAGCCGAAACGGAGCCCCGCTGCCATGCCGAATCACGACATGCGGACATGGGTTTCCCCGCACAACATTCCGACTCATCGGCCCTCTTATCACTGGCTATCTCTACTCCTATCTTCTCTGTTCTTCTATTTAATTCTTAAATTCCTAATTTAGAGGACATCGTGGGGTTAGAAAAAAGCTCTTTATGAAGCATTTTCGAGCTTGTTGCAATTCCATCCGACTTCTACGACACCTAGCTTCCTCCCCCTCAAGTACTACACTCTCCACACTTACTCCATCTGCCCGAAGGAACCCGTTTTCCTGTACAGCCCAACCGGCAATCACGAAACGCACAATGGCAACGGCAATGGCAAAGCGCCTCGAGGGCAAAACGATCGTCGTCACCGGAGCGTCATCCGGCATCGGTCGCAGCACCGCCAAGGAGTTCGCTCGCACCGCGCCCAAGAACCTGAAGCTTATCCTGACAGCCAGACGAATTGACTCTCTGAACCAGCTCGCGCAGGAAATCAAGGAGGAAGTCGGTGACGGCGTGAAGACATTGGCCGTGAAACTAGACGTCAGCAACCCGGCCGAGGTTCAGAACTTTGTACCCTCTCTGCCAGCGGAGTTCCAGGAAATCGATGTCCTGGTCAACAATGCGTGAGTTTCGAGCGAGATGCCCCGTTTTTTTGGTCTGATGGTGGCGCTGGGTTGTACTGACGGAGATTAGCGGGCTTGTCAAGGGTGTTGCCAAGCTCCTGAGATCGCCCCGGAGGATATCGATGTCATGTTCTCCACTAATGTCACCGGGTTGATCAACATGACTCAGGCGGTTCTTCCGATTTTTAAGAAGCGGGGTGATGGCGGTCGTGGAGACATCATTAACATTGGAAGTATCGCTGGTCGTGAAGCTTATCCGGGTGGCAGCATCTATTGCGCGACCAAGGCGGCTGTCAAGTCGTTCACCGAGGCTTTAAGAAAGGAGCTTATCGCTTCGAGAATAAGGATCATCGAGATTGATCCTGGTCAGGTTGAGACTGTGAGGGGTTTCTTTTGATCATCTCTGCGCGACTATCGAAGCTAATTAGATGGTTGTTAGGAATTCTCCGTTGTCCGATTCTACGGAGATAAGGGGAAGGCTGATGCAGTATATGCGTAAGACTTTCTTGGAATGACTGTGTCAGAAGGACAAAGCTGACGGATTATTGTGCAGAGGCTGCGAGCCACTTACCCCGGATGATATCGCGGAAGTTATTGTATTTGCCGCTGGCCGGCGCGAGAATGTCGTGATTGCTGACACTCTAATCTTCCCCAGCCACCAGGTGAGTTCATCGCGATATTGAGGAAATGACCATTTTCAAGTCATTGCCAACCCATGGTTATGGGTTTTCCTCTTCCGGGACGGCTATACTGATTGGTTCCAGGCGTCACCCGGTCATTTGCACAAGAGTTAGACATGAGTTTTAGAAGCCACCCCATGAGGCAATGACAAGGTGGCTGTTAGCACTGTGAAGCTATATATATTGGACATAGAAGACAGATACTGCAATCCCTATGAATCAAGGACAGACCAAACGACTAAACAAGACGAATTGTAAAAACACCAATGTATGTAAGCATAAAAGCACAAGAAACTTGGCATGCGCTTGCACTGGCAGTTGGACAGCAGCAGCTAGCCTATCTGCAGGAACGACTAAAAGGTCACCTACAGAAGTAGGATAGACATGGATGGCTCAAATCAACCAATACGAGGCCTTCACGTACGTCTCCAGGTGACAGCGAGCTGCAGTTTGCATATCGGGGCCGCATTGCAGAACCAAAAATAGTCAACATCCAAAAGAATCGCAGCTATGTTCTACGCGATATCAAGACTCTCTTTCCCTTCGCCCTGTATGGAATTAGATCCGAAAAGGGGTAACGAACAGTCGGCTCCACCAGGGCCACGGGCGCCCTTTCAACCCACGGGTCATAAATTACCCGTGGGAATGTGGTCTCTGATAGGGCCATTTGCTCTAGGTATAAAAATTTTTGCTCCTGGTGGTGAGTAGTATATGGTGTGATCCCAGCCATAGGAACAAAGCAATTGATAGGCCGGTGCCCGGACAGCAATGGGCAACGAGCGCCTAAAAGAAAAAGGGGCATGGCACTTGCGAATCCAGTTTATTCCACGTAATTGGGCATTAAGCCGGGCATCGGTGGTGAGATCGCTGTCAACCCATGTTGATGCGCTTTTCGCCCCCGGTGGATGATTCTGACCTGGGCTAGGATAGGTGATTCGGTTGCATTACCAGACTGTGCATCATTTCCCTGTTGCATCCTTCTTTTCTTTTTTCTCAACCCATCTTGAGGATGGTGTCGGGGTAAGCAAGCCACAAAAAGTGATGTTGTCAAAAGAAAAAGAGAAGTTCTAGACTGCAAATTGATGTCATCAGAATTCGCTGTATGTAGTAGTTCATCGGGAAGACCAACCCTTGTTCGATATTATATGCATGGAAAATGGGAGAGAAATCTTGAGCCCCCAACTGATTGGATCTGTCGCTCGGAAGGTCGGTTACTAGACCATGTTACGGGTACCCACCACGTGAATAATCTCCACGCACTCCAAATGCCAAGCGTCTAGTTTTTGAAGGCTTTCCCTAGAACAAAAAGATCGGCCCCCCCTCAGGAGAGCCCAACAGGTTTGGTTGCACGCGAATCGGTGGGTGTCGACTTCACATTAGTGGCCGAATTGACAAGACGTCTAAGCAATTGAGCTGATTCCTTATATCCTGGTGAACATTGGCGGTGTTCAGAATGAAAAGCCCCCATGTCTGTCTATCACTGTCGTCCTGGCTGAGATCAGAGAAGGTAGCATTGTCATGTAGTAATCATCCTCATGGATATGGGGGCTATTGTTGGTGTCGGACGAATACCTCTAATTCGTCTCTAGGGCGAACGGACACCATTCTAAAGCTCGCCAATTCAAGAGATCAGCCGAGACGATGCAGTAGCCCCGAGGTTGGAGGCGTACCGATGCAACTGGGGATGGGACCAATGTCTAGGCTGCAAAGAGATTTCGGGTATCTCTGAACGGAGCCGGTACAAGACGACGATCACATATCTCAATAAGCGGAGCGTTATGAAGTGATATGCATCAGCCTTGATAGCTGAGGATGTCAGTTAGTTACTCCATACTCTGTCTGTACTAGTATCCTACGGACTGCTCCGTATTCCGTACGGAGTACAGAGATAAACCACCATTATCGCGCCGATACTGATGATCATAATCCGTCTCCTCCGTACTCGATATCGGAGGGATCAGACGGTCAGACCACGGACCATTAGTCTACATATCATCTTTGGAAAGTGGAGGAGTGGGGAATCACTTTTGGATCACGAACTAGGATCCATAAGGATATAGGCTAGCCGCAATGTGACTTTTTGCGACCCAGGTACTGGCTGCACAGGATACAAAGGACGGCCATTGAGGGTTGAGATGATATTCGATGATGTAAGTGCGCGCAGGGCGAGCTGTCAACATGAAGTTTAGTTCGTTCGCCGCCGTGTCCGCCTTCTGTCTAGGCTAAGAATGTTTCTAGAAACCGAGGTCACGCAATGGAGGATATATTCTCCGTGTAACCTCAATCAATCGGATCTGGAGTCCACAGTCCCCCCGTTGAGAAAAAAAAATACCGTGTTCCTCCCCATGACGCAACTCCATGGTAGGCTTCAGACTTCCCCTTCTGAATCATGTGTGGCCTTAAAATCATCCACTATGCATAGAGTCGCAGTTCCAGTGTTGATTCAGAGAGTGGGTGAGTGTTCAATCTTTCCTTGCGCTACCCAGCAAGCTTGCGTATGTGATTGATTAGCTGACCAAGGTTTGGAAGACCCAGAGGCGGGAACTTGGGAGGTGATAAAGCGATGGAATCCACTTTACAATGGAATTGATTGGATGCAGACATTTCCATGGACACTGTTCATTCGTTTATTGTTGCATCCATCGGAGTAAAAGGTGACAGACCCTCCCGGGGGGTCCAGATGGAACAATGGGTGAATTTCGCAGAGGCGTTCAGATGGACTGGCGCTAAGAAGTGGGAACAAAGTGAAGATTGATTAATCTGTGGCTGGGGCTCCTTCCCAGAGGAGGTTGGAAAATGGCCGGAGCCAAAGGAAGCAACGCGAATAATTTGCATCGCGGTTCCTCTTCTGCCCCTTTTTGAATTTATTTGAATTTATTTAATTTCATTTTCCCCCTTCTACCCTCTCTCTGCTCTATCTCTCTATCCATGGAAGTATGCCGCTACTATAAATCATCAGTCCCTTTCATTTCCTGTACTCAGTACGGAGTAATCTTGCTCTCTCTATTTCCCCCTAATCTATTTACCCATAATTATTCTCTCCCATGTACTCCGTATGGCCGTGGTATTGGTGGGTTTCATTTCCTCACGACCAACCACAGTCGCTATCTGTAATTTTTGAATTGGAGCAGGTAATTAAGTTCTTATTTATCACAACATTTCCCGGAAAGGGGTGTGTTTGTTAATAAGAAAGCAAATCGCTTTCAACTAATGTAATTAAACATGAATATTGGCCTCGGAAGTTGACCACACGCGTAGTAATGGCTTAATGCCACCCACTTTTTT